ATCGAACACGATAACAGTGAGATAACGGAGGTATAAACAGCAAAAATGAGTAAAGACAGGGTATCAGATATTGAAAATGTAGTTCTACAATTTGGAATTATATTCAACGAAGACGCAAAAGCCCGTAAAATCATAGTCTATGCTCGTTATTAGAATTGCTATAATAACAGATCTAATCTTCAAATTATAGATACGTCACGTTAAGACTACCTAATTTAGAATGTATGACGTGTAAGACAAATCATTTACTTAATTGAAAATCTGTATCGTCATGACTTTATCAAAAGAACAAAAATAAATTTGTCGTTCCAAATAAAGATTCTAGCAGAATAACATGAATTCATTTTATTTCTTAGGTTCTCGTCAGCTGCTTACAACCTGTGATATTTAAAAATCATAATTGCATCATGGGTTTAAATTGCTTACTGAATATTGTAAATATATACCTAATGTGAAAGAATATTCTACAACATTAACTGTGACAACAGTTCAAAAGTGGGTTAGAAACAATTGATCACATAATGAATAACAATGATAGGAATATTGTGAGTAGAGTTCAGTTGAAAGATTTTTGAGTAAAATCAATGATGTAATAAATGCAAAAGAAAAAAAAAGGAGAAAAATTTTAAGGTGCAGTGAAGGAATATTTGTCACCAGGGCAAAGATTAACCACCGCCTTCTTTTGAATACATAGGTCAGGTTTCTGACGACTGATGGCAATGGCTTCAGCAAACTTCAGAAGACTGGAGTTTGGCTGCTTACTAATCACCCTAAAGGATTGTAAGGTTTCTACCTGATGTCCTGTATCAGGGAGATGTTTGGTGATTGCACTGTTCAGAGCCTTTCTTTCCCTTGTTCTAAAACTTTTTGGAACATGTTCAAAAAATCTAAGATATGCTCTCTTTTCAGTTCGGCCGATGTAGCTGCTTTGGCAGGTACACGTAAATTTATAAATACAGTTGGCGGTAACATGAAAGGTTTGCTTGTCGATCTTTGATTGGGTTCTTGAACATGTTGTTTTATAGAGAGTTAAAAGTTTAGCAGCCGGATAAGTTCTAGCTAGAGCAGTGTTCAGTCTCCTGTTGATTATTTGTGCGACGTTATCACTTTTAAAGTTAAAATTTATATATACTGGCTTTTTATTGACCGTAGTTATTTCCATCTTGTTTTCTTTGGAATTTTTATATTTGTTAATAAACTTTTGTGGATAAAAGTTGTCTTTTGGACATTTTTCTACGTTCATTAATACTTTTTCCAGTTTGTCGGTGGTACATATCTTTTCTACCCTGTAAAATAGTGTTTTAACCAATGCCTTCTTATAACTAATTGGACAAAAACAAAATTCAGGAAAATATCATTCCAATTACTTTTTCTATAGACTGAACGTTGGACTGTTCCGTCTCCCCTGCGTTTTACGGCAACATCAAGAAAGTGGAGTATGTCGTTCTGTTCGTGCTCCATAGTGAAATGTATGTTATTGTGAGCGTTATTGAAAAGTTTTAGCAGGTGGATTGCATACTGTTTATTGTTACAGATAATAAATGTGTCCTCCACATATCTGGAGTATTCCGTTGTTTCACTAATTGTCTGCTTAAGTACCGTGTTTTCAAGATAACCCATAAAAATATCTGCCATAATTGGACCTAGTGGGCTTTCCATTGCTATGCCATCTATTTGGCGATATATGGTGTTATTGAACTGGAATTGAACATCTGTTGTGCACATCAGCAGTAGTTTTTTGAATTCTGGGGCTGTTAAAGGTAGGATATCACCATTCTGACAAATTAAATCAATAGTTTCAAAAAGTGGTGTATTTGTGAACAGGGATGTTACATCAAAAGAGACCATGAACTTGTCGGCAACATTCGTATGATTTAGTCTATCAGCAAATTGGAATGAATCTCTTAGCGTATATGTTGCTAATCTACGACGAACCGGTTCTAGTTTTATTGCTAACCAGCGTGCAACTTTATGTATTTACTTGTCCACCGGTTGCGATGCCGAAATAGTCTAGAAATCTTAAAGTGAAAAAAAACAGTTACCTCCGCGAATTAGATCCCTAGAATGTGCATACAGAATTTTCAGTTACAATTTTAGCTGCAAGAGATGTCAACTCATTTAAAAGAATTTGAAATGACATTGGAACCTGGAATTAATGATACATTAGACTATATTTCTTACTTGAAGAATTGGTCAACGTTAAAGATCCTTCACAGCGTCAAATGAACGCAAACGTCCGTCAGTGTCTGTTTTACTCCAAATTTCCCTGAACGTAAATAACAGGGAATCACGTCTTCTGAGACATTCTTTTATGTGTTTATGAGCATTTTCGACACGGTTGTTTGTGTGGTTGCCTAGGCTTAACACATTTCGCTGTAACAGCAAGCCCACATTGACTTCCGGGCAATTCAGTAATCTTTTATATAATCATACGCCCGAGGGAGATGGGTTCTTGGATGTTCGTACTTCTGAGTGAATCTGAATATAATGCGTTATGAAAAGCGAAGCTCAGATGTCAGAACGTCTAGTCTTCACGAGATGTTCCAAGCATTTGCGTACATCAGAATTTCGGAACTACAGAAAATAATTTGTACAACTAACACATACTTTCCTAAAAATGTTCTTAAGACATGGAGTGAACAAAGTACTACGTTATAATGACTGTGCGTAGACTTCACTGCTGAAATTTCGATCGCTGCCGAATACATAACGAAAATGCGTGTATCATAAGTACCGCACGTTATGTCTTTAAAGCATTCCAATAGTTTTACGACATCTTCGCGTCATTCTTGGCTGCAAATAGCATACATAACAGTGTGTCTTTGCCCAAGACTATAAGTCATCACTAGCTGGAACAGTGGAAAACTTTATGATAAATTTATTACTAATCGTTATTTACCCAACTTTGTTGATCTGATAAGTTGAGTCACTACATACTACCTCTCAGATAGCAAATCATAGACATGTGCTAACGTTCACTGAATACTTTAACTTCAGTGTTTGCTTGAACGAGCTGTAAAATGTCATTTATACTTTTAGTATCTAAACTCAATTACTTACAATGTAAGTTCAACAACTTGGGTACAACTGTGAACGCATTTTGGCGATGTCGTCCTTGGTAAGCTGGTTACGGAACTTCCAAGAAAACAGATGCCGTAAGCTACGAGTCGGCGTATTACTCAATAGAAACGTTATTAAATATAAGCGTTCACTTGACGTCAACTGTCGTCTCGATGGGTAGACAGAAATATATCCTTCTGTGCAAGGATGGTTGTGCCTGGTTTTAATAGAGGTAACTTTCAGCCCACCATTTACTGCAGTGACCCAAAATCCAGATTGACAATGGCAATATTTCGACCTGAAGGATAAATTCATTTGAAGTAAAGCATACGTAGATGACCGACGTCGTCTTCTTTGTCTAGGTTGCTGTGGCGAGTTAGAAGTTGTATGCTCTTCGGAAGAATGATGATCACTGTCATCATCTACATCCTGAACACAAGCATCTGACTCTGACGAACTGCGTTCACGTCCATATCTACAGATAAATTTCACGAAAAAATACTTTAGCGTTGGGTCATCACTGTTTTTTTTACATACTGACATAACGTACTTATTATGCGTCTACTACAAAAATAATTATTAACCACAGAAGTCATATGATAAGATAATATCCCAAGCTGCCAACTTTGGAGAAAATTTGGTCAATTTTGGAGAAGCCGGCTTATATAGCGGCCGCTATATTAAATTTTGGGGAAATGAGACGGAAACCCCGAAATTTCCCCAAACATTGGGGAAGGCTATTTCACTTTGGGGATTTCCCCAAGGCTGGAAGCTTGGGATATATTACCTTATGTACTTATTTCAAACACTTCTCATAATTGGCCCAACTTGTAAACCATCAAAATAACTTAATATCACTGAAGATTCGTTCTATATCATGCATCATCACGATGGTGTTGTCTTCGTTACTTGTAGGATGGATGTTATCAGACATGGTGTGGCTGAACTCAATCCAAATCTAAAAATGTCTTGATTTGACCGCTTCTGACAAACTTCACGAATTGTCGATGTGGTGCACCAATCAGCTTGCAACAGTTTGACTTTCAAGTGCTCGCAACCTTATCAGTGGACGACACCCCTGAGGCACACTATACGTGTTAGTTTACGGGTTTTCGCGCACATGTAACATATTGTCGTGGATTTTATGTTTCGTTATTTATCAGCTATTAACAGCCTTTTTTCCATCATACGCGACTTCTCGTAATCTTTGTGATTGGAAGATAGTATTTATTTCAATTTAAAAGCAGTTTGACGTATTTTGTGCTCACCACCTAAGTAAACATGCAGTTGGCGTAATATGGTTATTTTTTAATAATACAAGGTCAAACAAGTCAAATCACCATTTTTCTAGTGAAAAATAGAAAACAGATTGACTTTTCATGAAAATAAGCCGTCAAAAGCATTATATATGGTTCACCTCCTTGATTATGGTGACAGCGAACATAGATGTTCGCAGTCGTTTATAAGATGTTATCAGAAAGAAGTAAGCATTAAACTAACTATGGATATTATATAAATTGTTTGTATTTAGCCATAAAAGGTTATTTGCACTAAAGGTAGCATTGTTTGGTATTGAAGTGACATATTATTGTGTAACGTATCAGAGAAAAATTATGTGAGTAAGAATTGATGTTGATAGTCTTTTTTACCGGCTTACTGAACGTATACAGGAACAGTGTATAACACCACATTAAATAGGCACAAAATCTTCATAAGTGAAACGATGGGATCAAAGATCAAATTACAAAGCAACAACAGAGCCAACGTGTACACTACAAAACAGAGAACGCTAAATTAATGGTTTTGGTATTTATTTCGTGCTTTTTTATGTAGCATAACATGACTTATATATGAAAAAACTTGGTACTCATGCAATCCAACCAACCCACGGCAATTGAAATACGGAATGACCGCCTCTAGTCAAGCCGTTCAAGGTCGTTGAAACGAAAGGGCGGGCACATTTCAAAAGGACCTAACGTTTAAACCTTGCCCACCCCTGAAGTGTTGCCGACGTTTTCCTGTGGCGATATGTCGTAATGTGATAACATAATTTATATATTTATTCACCTTGGGGTACAAGTGATTCTGATTGAATCAGGTGGACTGAAGGCCGGATAAATTGGAAGAAACTAGCGAGACATCGTATTCTCACCATTTAATGCGAAATATATAAAACGAATTATTAGTGGATCTCACAAGTTTATCTATGTTTTGTATCTTAAATTATTTTCAGAAAAAGTGTAATAAACGCGGAAGCCTTTACTAAAAACGAAACATCCCGATAACTTCACTCCTACTGCTATATGATATCATATATTATATAATTATGAAATCCTATGTAGCCGTGGTCATTTACTCGGTCAATTCAAAAAATTCTGTGTTCCAGAAGATGCGGGTTACATCTTTGAAAATGGGTATAGAAAAGGTTGATGCCTTCGATAAACTAATGTTATTTGTAAGTCCGTGTTGTTCATCAACTTTTCGAAACTTGAAGGATTCGCTCCGAACCAGTTCGAATTCCTGATTTTGAAAGGTTTTGTATGCCACTAGTTTTCTGCTCTAGATAACGTACGAAGATAAATGCGTAGGTTTATTAGGTTTTTGTCTAATAACTTCAGCCTCATCTGGACCACACGCAATTGATGATTTGAAGCTATTCCAGCTCCTCTATTTCTTCTCACTTCTTCCATTGATCTGAATTTTTTAGTGTTGCAAATATGATCAGTCTGGTTCTCTGTAGCGTGATCTTGTAAGACTCATGTAGCTTTGTGTATGCAGGTGTGGGGAATATTGTTTCGCCTATAACCATTTTATTGAACGCACATAAATTTGCAAATCTGTCACCATTTTTGTTTCTTTCTCCCAGTCCATGTCGTCCCATGATATCTTCGTAACTGGTGTTGACCATCCCGACTTAGGCGTTTAGTTCTCCCACCACCATGGTCAGATCATAGGCAGTACTCTACGATCGACTGCGACCTCATAAAACACCTTTATCGTCGTCGTTGTTATCATTGGTGGGTGCATAACATTGGACAACATTCATTGTGATTCCCTTCATTGTTTTGAATTATTCTCTGATGATTGCTCATCCATGAGATTCCCATCCTATAGTTGCTTTTCGTGCTTCTTTGGACAGCACCAGAATAACTCTCTGAGTGCTTGAAGCATTTTCCTCTTCGTGACCGAACTACAGCAGCATCCCTCGCGAATCTATCCTTTTCTATCCAGCTTGGGTCGAATGGATTTCACTGATTCCGATCGCCGCCAAGTTGTACCTCGTCATTTCCTCCCAGTTTCTCACGTTGTGCGTACGTCCCATATACCTATATTCATTGTTGCTGTGGTTTTTAGAAGGGGCATCGGCCTCGTGACTGACGAAGAATGAGGCGTGATAATCCTCCTACATAGATATTCTTCAAGTCGCAGGACAGAGTTTAAATGCTTTATAAGACTTTCTGGCAAACGTTTGTTGTTAGGGTTGTTTTCTACCGGATGGGGTTTCTGACCACGTGTTTAACCCTCCTCTCTTTGGGCTTAGGACCGACAATGAACCGGGATACCTCAAGATACTAAGGTGGCTAATGTTAGTGATTAGCTTCCAAATAATTTAGTTACGTTAGGTTTTGTGTTTCTTCTGTGATTACTACTATTGTGATTCATTCTGATATGAAACAGGAAAAAAATTGGCTATCAGAATTACTAGTTAATTAAATTAATAATATTCATTAACCGAGTGAAAACTATACTGGTACCATATATACATTTTCTAAATTTTTTGCAATATGTATTTTAATTTTAGTCTTGTAGTGTAGATCCATCTTTATCATGGTCTGTTGAAGGTTCTTCTTATAAGGAAAGATGGATTCCTGTAACTCCACACGCAGCCAGTGGTTTCCTTGTTTCGGACCGTAATTCATCAATGAGTTCTACATTGGTAACATCTTAAACCCTATTAAATTACCCTAAAGTCTGTTGATTTAGAATTAGAAACTGTTTCTGGTTCCGAAAAATCTTGTGTTTCATTCACTTTACGTCCAGATTACCACGATGACCAGGGTCTACTTTGTCTTCCAGTTTCTTCAGTTAGCGGAATTTTGGATGAAATTTACCGTGAGTAATTACTACAATAATTTCTTGATAATTAGGTGTTGAATATGCCAAAACTAGATTACTAAGTCAATTGTTCGATCACAAAGATGTGTTTACTGAGAAAAGTTCTCATCATTTTGATGTTACTTTCACTAACTGAAAGATATTACTATCAAAATAAACTACTTTAACGTGATTAGGCGACGTCTGCATATTTGGAACAGATGCAGGACTTGAGACTTCAAGTTATCATGCACCAGCATTACGTTTCATTCGATCACACACTTTCTAGCATCAAAACATCACGTTTTGTTGAGTGGTATCAAACTTGCATGTTTTAGGTAAAACCGCTACATTTATGCAAGGATGGAAACTAACTGTACACTAATTAACAGTTTCCGTGAGACCTTCCCCACCGTATAGTAGATTTCACTTTTGCATGATGTGATTGTTCAGTTGTAATTTAAATGCTATATAAATCTAGGTTTTTTTTGTGTAGTGCATCAGTCTTGTTCTAGGTTTTCAAATAATACGAAAGGCATATCAAAAGCGACATTTTAAGATGAACTACTCACGAAATTTTGAGAAATATTCTGTCAATGTATCTACTAATTATCATGGATTCATCCTTGTTAAAATATTTCTTAACTTTTTTTTCACATTTAGTGTACTATCTGTTTATATTTGGCTACAAACCACTTCATACAGACCACAGAACACCTCTCTACTTGTGCCTCCCTCCAGTCAATTCATCCCTGCATCAAAATGCAACCTCCCAACCAATCATAGTCGGTCATGCTGGTGCTGGTGTAAAACGTGCACATCATGGTAAAGGGCTTGAATGGCCTGAGAACACAATATGCGCCTTTCGACGTGCTGAGCAACTTGGAGTAACAATGGTGGAATGTGATGCAAATATCACAAAAGATTCTGAAGTCGTTTTACACCACAACTTCACACTAGGAGTATGTGAGCAACCGAAAAAATCTGAAAACGATCCACCAACTTTCATTTTAGAACATAAAAGTAAGTTAGTTTCTCTGTAGTTTACTGGTTAAACTGTAATTTCTTTTGAGGATTATTAGTGTCGAGTCCAAATTATCTTAGACAAAGAAGTAGCAATAACTTATTGCAACAGCATCAGATCATCGAAAAATGTGGAGTAGTAAACTGAATGTACTTTACTTATCAAATAAATACTGCGTCTGACGAGCCTGAGGAAGAACCTTTTTTATTATCTATTTAGGTTGTTTTTGATACTATAAGATACATATATATTCAACAAGAAGTACAATGACCAACGTAAAGTAACACGGTCCACACTTCTATTGCTTAAACAGTGTTATCTTTAAGAAAACTTCTCTATGGTCTATGTTTGCATTTTTTACGTGATATTAACAGCACGCTATTTAACCTGGTTTAAATAAGTTAATTAGATGAATCTATAGCAATTTTTGTCCTTCTGGTACAGGATTAATGAAAGCAATCTTTTTTGCCCGATTCACCTTGAAAATGAAAGCAGCAAAAGAGATGAGAAAAAACTGTAGCAATGGTGATTATAGTAGAAACCTTTAAATACGAAAGGGATTTTGTTTCGTGTACCTTTTAAAGTCGTTTTTCACCAGCGCTTGTTTGTAATTTTTATCTGAGTTGTCCTACCTTTTACGTTTAAAGCTGATGGTGTAGTAAATGAAAATAGCACAGATCTGATTGTGAACTACCAATTATCTGGAATTCGCAACTTGTTGAGAAAGGTCAATGGGACGATCGGTAATGCAAACATTATCCAAAGTCAGTATCCTAGTCCCTTAACAATGAGTGATCCTATTCCAAATATTCATGGTAAAGAGGCTGAACCAATACCGTTATTAAAAGACGCATTCTACCAAACTTCCACAAACCTAAGCTTTAACGTAGAGTTAAAATATCCCATAGAAACGCCATATAATTTAATTGCTGAAGCATTAATTAAACATAAACCTGTCGAATCTTCTTTACCAACACCGTCCTCATATTTCTACAAGATCAACAAATTCTGTGATACAATATTAGATGTAAGTAATTTAGTATATCTCAGATTTTTCTCTAAAATGTTATTTATTTAGTCTGTTGTCTCGGTACAGCAGACCTTACAGAATATTTCAGTGATTAAGATTCTTATCACTTTATTCAGTTTGTTAAAATATCTTTATTTGGTCTGAAAAGATATAACAAGTAAATTTTGAAGCTCAGAGGAAACCACCTTGATCCGAAAATCCCCATCAGGACTGACGATTTCTTTCGAGAACACTTCGTCACTGGTGAGCATAATAGAACTGACTTTTGATAATCCTTTACACCCCATAATAAATCAGTACCAAGCGACTGATAAACTCGATTTTTTTATTTCATCAGTTCGAGAATCTACTTTACTAAATTAATGTCTCGTAACTTATTGTGAAATGAAGTAGCGAGATGTAATAAAAATTTTATTCACGTATTTGTCAAATCATTGTGACACTTCAAATGCAACAGTCTTCATAAAAAACCTTAAATAAAGGTTATTATGTTTACTAGTGATTACGAGAGGTAGTTCTAAATGTAGTTCAAGTGAGGAGCTGTGACCACATATCCAATCTAGCTCAACGTAAAAGAAATACTACTAATGATAGGGGTTTGAACCCCATCCCACCTAAATAAGTTTGGGCGATTGGGTACCATCATTACCCCTCACGCTTGGAGTGTGGCTCACACCCAAGTACCTGTTAAATTAGTTAATTTAATTATAGAAGCAATGGTCCAGACTGATACTTGCCGAATATCGCGAATTAACTAAACTTATAGACATTATCCTTTGGATGCCAACTCAGCAGCCACAAGATTAGTAAGTGCTTCCTGGTCCCACTTCAAACAGTCTCTAATTCGAAGTTACACTAGATACATTTGGTTGATAGACCACTTAGCACACTGAATCGCGTGTCAGGAAATAAATGCTGGTTAACCTTAATTCATATCAAATGATTTCATTGCTAGTCTTTGTAATTTGAAGACGAAATTTTGTTTTGATTGTAAAAATGAAATTAACCTTTGGTGCTTTTCAGTTTCCCTACGACCCGTACTATTCATCAAACAATAACAACAATTGTTTTTTCCCTTAACAGACAATATGGTTACATGCTGGACCCAGATACGTTATACTATCTTCATTTAACCCTGACGTATGCTTAACTTTAAGGTTAAAGCAATCTTTTTTTCCAGTCTTGTTTATTTCCCGTGGTGGTTATCCAAATGATAGTAGTCACAAGTCAGATCCACGACACCACAATATATTCTCTGCAATAAGTTGGGCACATATAATGAACTTAAATGGGATTGTTACAGTGGGATATCATTTCGGTTCGACAAATGATGTGGATGAAAGGCAGCTCAAATATCTTGAAGCGGATTTGGAGAGTAAACAGCTATCCTGTTTTGTGTATGGTGATGGTGTGTCTGAAATCCGTTTTTATAGAAAAGCATCACAACTTAACTTGACTGGAGTAATCGTTGATCGGTTAGATGAATTTATGCATATGTACCATGAACAATGCAAAACAAGTACGCAATTAGAGTCTCCAAACCTTTAATTAATTTCATGAATTTTAAACATATTTAATTGATAGACAATAAATTTGTACAATTAACTTTTTCTGTAAAAAATGTTTACTGGTATAAAGACAATTTAGTTTAAGATCACATGTATATTTAGTTACGTACTTTTTTTGTGTAGTACGTAAAAGTTTGGACATAAAAATCTCATAACAAACCTCTAAGAAATATTTACATATGGAAAGCAGAAGTTAGTGAACGTAAATAATTGGAAGTTTAGATGCATTGGAAGACTACTTTATCACGCAAAGCAAATGTTAATGCTTTTGGGCACTTTTGATTCGATCTAGTCTTCGTTTCAAATCCATTAGTTCAGTGGTGGACATAGTAGGCCTTTGTTCTGTTTCAGGTCGAACATTTTCATCAGGAGAATCACCTTTTGGTTGAACCATATTCTGAAAAATAAAATTTCATTTGTTATGCATAATTTAAAGTTAATCTCTATATGTGAACAGCGAAAATAATCCTTCATCAGAAATCACCAATAAATCTTGTGCTATTGCTGGAAACTTCGATTTCAAATCACTGTTTTGATAATACAGATGATCAGTTGGAGACCGTAGCATACTCAGATAATAAACCTCAAAACTGCTACAGTAAGCTATAACGAACAGACACTCGACAATTATATGTTAGTTGTTGCACTACTTCACATGTTTCTACATAAGCAGTCGAATCCAAATGAATATGAACGAGAAGAATAATTCTACATCAAAGTTTCAGAAATAATGGCAACTGGTTCAGTTTAGCTTTACTCAGCTCAGTTTTGGTAGTTATGTCGTAATCTTTGTAATTGAAAATAGAGGCCAGTACAAATATTTTTTAAAAACTTAATTTGCACGACTGTTAGTAAACATGGGTTCAAAGTCTGACCAACACACACTATTTGATAGTCAGTCAGTCAGTAACAACGTAGAACTTCGTACGTACGTACATCAGTTTGAGTTGCCACACCACATTAGCACAGAGATGCAGTTGTCGATTCAAATCCCGTAGTGGTAGAGGCGGTAAGAGTATAAGCAGTAATCGGGAAGATTAGGGTTTGGAGATGTTATTTAAAGAGTATAATCCAGTGAAATGAATTTGGAAAGAGGAAAAAAGGGACATGAAGAATTCAGAAGATTAGAATTTGGGAGAACACAAAGAGTGGATGCACCTGCGCCATTGCAAACAATTTTGAGCCATGTCATTCAGGGTCTCTAACCATTGGTTGCTATCATCTCGCAGTCCCCAACCAGGTAGTCTACACCTACCAACATGGCTCAGTTCACTTGTCAGTGACTTCATGGACTTGTGCCGTGTTTTGGTCTGGCCGCCCCTAGCTTTCTCCCAACCTACTCATATACCATTGGGCATCGCACGTCGAGGTAGTCGGTCGTTGGGCATACGTAACACGTGTCCCAGCCATCTCAACTGATGAAGTTTCACTACTTCATCAATTGATTTGCCATCCTTACCTAGTACCCGTTTCCTAACAACTGTGTTACTTACTCGATGGTCCCATGATATACGAGCAATGTTTCGAAGATACCTATGATCAAATACTAGTAACCTACGGATATCCTCTACTCTTACCGGCCATAAAGTAGGACGGAACGAACTGCTGCGCAGTAAACACGTCCTTTAGTTGATAGACGGATATCTCGCCTACGCCATAAATGACGCAAGTTGGTGAAAGCTAGTCGAGCCTTCTGTATCCGTGCTGAGATTTTGTCACACACCAGACCACAAGGGCTGATGAGACTTCCAAGATAAGTGAAGCGGTCGACACACTCAACTACTTCACTCCCTATCACTAGTTCGGGTGTCGATGTAACCCAATCCTGAAGCAACATTTTGCATTTCGAGGGGGAGAATCGCATCCCGAACATGCTTGTATTGTTGCTTAGAGTGGTCAGAAGACTCTGCATTTTGTCAGCGTCTTCACCAAATAAAACTATGTCATCTGCATATTCTAAGTCAACAAGTGAACCTCCCGGTACAAGTTCAACCCCTGGAAATTTAGATGAGGAGAGTGTTATCTCTAAAAGTACGTCGACCACAAAGTTGAACAAGAATGGAGAGAGTGGACAGCCCTGACGAACACCACTTGATGTAATCAATTCTGATGACAGTTCGCCATAAGCTCTCAATCTACCAGTTGTGTTCGAGTAGAGAGCCTTTATAAGGTTAATGTACTTCTTTGGTACTCCTTTCAGTGACAAACACTGCCATAGAACCTCACGATCAACAGAGTCGAATGCCGCCTTAAGGTCGAGAAACACTACCATTGTGGGGCGTCTGAATGTGTGTCTGTGTTCTAGAACCTGACGTAGTGTGAATATCTGATTTATACAACCACGTCCAGGTCGAAAACCGACCTGGTTTTCTCTAATCTGCTCTTCACGAGCTTTGATTAGGCGTCGAAGTATTATTGAAGCTAATATTTTAGACACTATATTAGTCAAACTGATTCCTCTGTGATTGTCACAAGAGGACTTTTGTCCTTTCTTATAGACTGGCACAATCAGTGATTGAGACCAGTCAGATGGGATTACGTCCAGCTCCCAGATTCTACCTAAGACCTCGGTTAATCTCATTGCTAATACTGGACCACCATCCTTAAAAATCTCGGGAGTAAACCTGTCAGGGCCTGCTGCTCTCCCTCGTTTCAGATTTCCTATGGCTTTTTTAACTTCGTAAAGGGACGGAGGATCTACATTAACTTGCCATTCAGGTGGACTAGAGATCGTGGGAAACCGAAGTGTGGCTGAAGGCCAGTTGAACTGATCCCTAAAGTGTTCTGCCCATCGATCCAATCTCCTGGATTGAGAATGAATAATATGTCCATCTTTCTCTAAGATTGTTTCGCTAACGGTCGAGTTCCTAATTCCGGTTTCCTTAACGAGTCTGAACAATTGTCTGCTATTACCTATTGCCGCTGCCTTTTCCATCTCTCTTGCTTTCGCTACCCACCACTGTTCACGATCATTGTGTAGACTTCTTGTCCGCTTGCGCTTAAGCTGACTCCGCTCTTCATTATGTTCAGAGCCAGGTGGAATGAGTTTCCGAGCATCTATCAGTGAGATAGATGCTGCTGAGATCCGGTGTTGCTCCCTAACCTTCTGGTTTACCTTACTAGCATATATCACTGCTGTTTCCACAGCTTTTCGGATATCATTCCATGCTGCATCGGTGTGGGCATCACATACATGGCTGCCTAACTGTTTTCCTAGTTGTTCCCGAAATATACTCTTAGCTTGACTATCATTAAGTAGGCCCTTAAGAGGTTTCCTTGCAGCGTCTTTCCTACGTCCAGTAAGACGCAAGCAAATACGCGCTCGCACTAGAGCATGATCTGAATCTAGGCATGTGCTCCAGAATGAGCGACAGTCTTCTATCGAGCCCCTCCATCGGTGGCTGATAGCGATGTGATCTATTTGGGTCCAACGTTGGGACGAATTAGGGGGTCGCCATGTTAAAAGATGTTTTTTCTTATGCTTGAAGTTAGTATTTGCAAGGAACAGGCGGTTATCTGAGCATAGCTGCAACAGACGGTCGCCATTATCTGTTCTTTGAGCCACGACACCATAAGATCCACCTAGGTGTCTTTCCCTATCGCTTAGTTTACCTACTTGAGCATTAAAGTCACCAGCCACTATTACTACATCCGAGCGCTTAGCTTTTCGGAGAAGGTCCGAAAGCTTTCTGTAAAACTCATCTTTTACATCATCTGAGCTGCAGTCAGTGGGAGAATAGGCAGAGACGACGAAGAGGCAACGACGAGTGTCCCTATCTTTTCGGATCCTTACTGTTCCGTTTAGTCGGATAGCGCACAAACGACTGTCTACTGGGATCCACTCTAAGAGAGCTAGTTCTGCCCTAGGACTCAATGCTATACCTACGCCGGCGAGGCCACGGGAAGCAGAATAAGGGCTTCCAGATACACGAAGCGTAAATCGAGTCGGTTCTTTATTTTGGCATGGTGAGGTCAAGTGAATGACGCTACTCGGATCCTGTATGCGCGTTTCGGAGATGCAGCACACATCGATGGCGCGAGATTCTAAAGTCCTAGCTAAGGAAGCCTGCTGTCCTATTTGGCAAAGTGTTCGTACGTTAAAAGCTCCTACGTGTAGTTTAGAGCGTGGTTTCAGGAGACCAGGAATGGCGTTCCACGTACTCGAATCGTTTGCCCTAGCGGTGCGAGGTGATAAAGAGACGTGAGTAGGGTTAGTCATGGAGATAAGAGAGGTATTAGGAGGTGTAGGAAGGATTTGAATGTGACCACCTTGGTCTCTTGTGTTGTTACGGGTATGAGGGCTGATGTCACTTCCCGGCTGCCCACACCGTGGAAGGGTATTTCTTGAGGAACCTGAAAAGGAAATTGGATTAGTGTCGGTCTTGACGACCTGGGAGCGTGACCGCAGAGACCAAGGGACAACTGCTTGAGGCCGGTCGCGCACGGCCTTTTTGTGGAAGGTTTTTGACGTGTTAGCTCCGTTCTTCAAAGGGCCTTACCGCCGGAGACGGAAATCCGTGAGGTAAAGTGAGGTGTGACATTTTTAGGGTCGACCTTTTCTAACCCCATCCCTCCTTGTGAGAAGGCAGCATCGCTGCAGATGCTGGTTGTCCGAGGAAACACCTTACTGCTGTCACACCTCCCTACAGTCAGCAGTACGACTTCGCCCTCAGACCTTGAGTTGATGCTTTTAGTCTTACCGTTCACCAATCGACCTGCCTGGCATGGTAGAACCTGCAGGAACATATGTTCCAGCCAATATAGCTCGGTTGGGTCATCACGATAGGCAAGCTCGACCACCGCGTCAAGGTAGCAGCTTCGATCGGGACACTAATAACAAATTTTAAAAACCGCAACTAGTTCACTGGAGTAAAATTTGTGTGGACTTCATACAAATCCTTTTAAATTTGTTGTACACTTGAAGTCAGTGACATTCATGTTCAAATTTTATGATAATTTAGAAATGAACGTCCATTGAAGAAATTTAAGTCAATATTGAAAGTTAAACAAATAGGATAGCAAAAAATGTCGATAAATGACGATTGAATCAAGTGATTTTTATGACAATTGTGCCTAGTCGAAGCATGTTATTTTGTGTTCAGTTGGGAGTATTTCCTTACTGGCTTTTGTTGATTGTTTGGAAGTGCAAGAAGCATAACCAATACATTTTTACTTGTGAAATGCACACGAATTTAATCAGGTCTCGGAAAGCTACTTATTTTTGAAATAGACTTACTCGAAGAGTTGTTTCAAAGGCTGTATTTTGTGAACCAGCTTCATCAGATGGCCCAATATTATCATCAATGTTCGTTGTGGATACACCACCAAGACCCAGTTCTCTTCGTAGCATCGCCAATCGATTCATAAATACTTTGGGATCAGTTAGTTGGCCATTAGAAATATCCGCATCAAAATCTGGATTCCAATTAGGACGCGCTAAAATGCCATTAGTCTGTCAAAAAATAAGGACAGTATACTAGACACGAAATTTGGAATCCACACAATGATATCAGTATATAGGTAAAGAGGATAATTATGGAATTTACTGTATGGCCGCAGTGTTCAGACTTATCTATTCAAGCATAACAGCTTATGAGCTTATTGTTTAAGGTGAGTAAAGCAAATATCGATTTCATTCAGCAACAACTGATAGTAAGATAACTTCTACTATCGGACAAGAGATTTTGGAGACAAAGGTTTCCAATTTGGTAATCAAAAACAGATTTGTGTGCGTTCAATCTTTAGTCGCATTTTCTTGTGCACTGTTGTGATTGTTTGCTTCTTTTCGTTCACCTTATGTTCGTATGTAACCATGATGACTAAGGGTATCCCCGTCTATTCAAATCGATGTAGGCGGGGCAAGGTTCCAATAGGGAACTCGTGAGTTGACTTTACCACTGGGCAAACGTCCCAAATTGAAGACTATCAACAAGAGTGAAGTCTTGTAAACAAATCCCTCAACAAGATCGTAGTACGTCTTTTAGTTTTTAAGAGACTAACTAAAAAAAGTAACTAAAGTACTTACTTGATGAGCTGCTAATGTGTTTGGTTCTTTATCATTTACACTTAGTCTAGCCTGACGGGCGCGTTCAACAGCTATATTTCGTAAGGCTTGTTTTATGTAGGCTTGGAAAAATTGGCTTGTGTTTGTTAAGTATGACGATAAATCTACATCTGGATAGAGCTGAGTGAAATCGTATAGTTCATTTAAACCCTGGCGGAAAAATAGAACGTGAAGATAGCACATGTTAATGAACTAATGATTTTAATATGAACATTTATTGACTTGTATTAAATGTAACTATTTAAGACAGAGAACGAATGAAACAATATACCAACATATTTTTTAGATTCCAAATTAACGTGAATAAAATATTTACTCAACTGGAACAGGATTATCGTTGTGATATTGTTTAGATTAAGAAAAACATGATGGGAATGTGCTATAGTAATAGAATTTCAGGAGACTCAACAGCTTACATCTAGATGAAAATAGGTTACCACAGAACTCAAGCCAATAGTAAGATGTGAGTTAATCGGCTGTTCTATATTCCGATATTCAAATTTCCTGGGCATTAGGAAGTTCGGTTTAGTGGGTAAATATCTGTTTGATTATTTTGGTTGCATATTCAACAACATTAAATTCAACAATCAACTCAACTGATATAGCCAGCAACTGTTCAAATACTTACATAAGACAGTCGGTTAAATAAATAATGAGTACTTACCTCATCAGGTTTCTTAGATCCGACCTTCTTGAATATTTCGGTTAATTTCTCACGAGTTGCAGTAGAAAGTACAAATCCCTATGAAAATATAAGTGTTTTCTAAATTACAAAAGATCAATCAGTTAAAAAACCACAATACCAGCACCGTACATTTAGGCAATTACTAAAAAATGGTTCTTCAACAATCTACGCAGACTTCAACTCAGTCACAATACGACCATTAGTAATACGAAACACTAGCAAATAGCTGCTCGGAAAAATTTATTCTTGATATGACGGATGACTTGAAATATTTTTTTCTCCCAGGTATAATACTACAATAGGTAAATACGATAATGAGATCAGTCATGTTATATCAGAATCCAGGATTCATGAACCGGAATAACACTAGATAATACTTTATTCAATATAGTCACACTCAGTGAGTCCGGGGTAGAAATCAATGAGAGAAAAATGAATTGCATATTTAGTATTCAGTAGGTTATGCATGTTTGTCCAAGCTTAGTGACTGATCATATTTTATTTTCACTAAAACAAACCAATTCTCCAAACGTTAAAACACTTTAAAAAACATGTAAATGGTGACAGAAGGTAACGAAACCATCTAAAAATGCTTGTACTAAACAGTATAAGATTTTTTGTTTTTATTCTTCAAATGAGAGATATTTAACGTGCTAAAAATAACAAGTTTCGCAGTAAAGATCCATTTGCGAATGAAAACTAAGACACCTCTTCTCGACATTTATTGTAAATGGAGATAAAAAAAATCTCAAAAGCAGAGAGGATCGTGGATAAACATTTTTTGAGTAGGAAATATCTATATTTATGCTGACTGTAAACCTTCATGTTTTCTACTTTGACAACATATGGAAAACCAGCAAATCCATTTGCGCTAAAGTCTTTAGTCATAATATTTTCAAATAACAAAATATTCAATCTATGTGTATATGAAGACAATAAATTCCGCTTACTTTTGAATGACTTTCAGAGGCCAGTATTTTTTTGGAATCAGAGGTAGTTGTAACTCCTGAAGTAGTTTTTAGTGTGCGAATGAGGTAGGACTCCAGTTCTGAATCTTCCTATTAGTAAGGAAAAAAGTATGGGTACATTCTGAAGATACATTGAAACTACTTGGTACTTTCAGAGAACCAAAACAAACTAAGTAACAGAAGTATATAGCATAACTTGCTCCTTGTATAGCCAACCAATTTAATACTTCATTGAGTTCCCCAAGTGTAGGGATTATATTGGATCAGAGGTATTTAGCTAAACAAGTCGATAGATCCAGGGATTTCAAGGGTTATATTGAAAAGCCACTTGATTTATGGAATGAGAATCTGGTGTTTAAAAAATATACAACCATAACAAATTCAAGTTTACTTCTGTTGACGTGAATTTAGGATGGACATATACACAATCCACTAGGAAATACCAACATTTTAGTACACATTGCAGCAAGCTCATTCAACTATTGTATTATTTGTCTACTCATTGTAATTCAGACTATATTAATTTCTGTGTGTGTCATTGAGCGCGTGTCTGCACATCAACCTCATTCTGTTCTCCTATTGGTTGTAACATTCACATAATCAATAATTCATCCACACTTGATTGACACTCAAAAATATATATGGATTTTCAATTCGCACACACACACTCGTGGTTTCACAGTGTGCTGGCTCACTGTACGCTTGCGGATGTTATTTATCTTTAACAATAAAATATCTCTACAACTGATGTTCAGGCTTCTGAATAATCTCCAGTAAATCCATAATTCTATCTCAAGTACTCAGTTAACGAGATATCATTTATTGGAGTGAGATATAGAAGAAATTAAGCCTCAACAATATACATTAATATTGGACCTCAGGTGATAAAAATTTGCTTGGCATATTGCTTAAAAAGTTTTAATTAGTGATCTATTTGAATTAATTTGAACAATACATGAAGAGAGTAATAAAATGAAGTAGTTTTTACTAGTACAGGTCGAGAATGGTTAAAAATCCGACCAAGATTAAGAAATATTCAAGGGGTTTTTTCTTCCACGATAATTCAGTAATAAATTTTCATGAAGAAATGTCGAAATTAGGGGAAAAACATTAACACAAACAGAGGATGCCAATTTTGTTTCTGGGTTGACACACAAAAGACGCAATGTTACAATATACCGTGTTCTTGAAAATTTTTGAATTTAAAAATGTAGCTTTTAAGTATCTTAGGGTTAGATTAATTTTAAGCTCTATAACAAAATATACGAATGCCCAAAAATACCTACCTTATTAGGTATACTTTCTAGAAACTGTAAAATTGATGGACCTTGGAGGCCACATAATACATGCAATAGGGTTTTGATTGTTCGTAAAGGAACATCTGATTTCCGTGCACTCCATGAGGAAGGTGGGAAAGCCTTTAAAAAATGATGACAGTCCAGAAGTATGACATCCACAGAGTAATTATTAACTGATGCCGACAGAAAAAAAACAGTATGTGGTTTAATTCTTGCTTTCAGAAATAGAGAAATACTGAAGTTGAGTACAACAGATCATGAACATTAAATTATCCACACAAACAAGTGAAAAAAGAACCATACTTAGTTGTATAAGTCAGTCAGTCAGCTACAACGTAGGACCAGGCACATATGTGCATCGGTCCAGGTTGCCATACCTCATTAGCACAGCAAGATAAACACCGGATTCATAGGAGTGGTTAGGTCAAAGGTTGCAATAAGGATATAGTATAGGAAGAAAGAATTAGTTCGTAGACAGAAAGAATGAAGTGATTTTAGTCTCTTAGTTTAAAAGAAGACAGGGAGTGTATACACCGACGCCATTGTGATAGATTCTGAGCCATGTCACCAAGAGTCTCCAACCATTGGTTACGATAGTCACGCGGACCCCAACCAATTAGTCTGCATCTACCAACATGGCTCAGACTAGAAGTTAGTGACTTCAGGCACTGATGCCACGTTTTGGTTTGGCCGCCCCTTAACTTTCTTCCAACCATCCCCTACCCCGGTTAGCATTGCACGTCGTGGTAATCGGTGTTCAGGCATACGTAATACGTGGCCCAACCATCTCAGTCGATGAAGATTAACAACCTCATCAACTGATTTACCATCATTCTCTAATACCCTGCGTCTAACCTCACTATTACTTACCCGGTGATCCCAGCAGACGCCAGCAATATTTCTAAGGCATCTGTGGTCAAATACTAGTAACTTACGGGTGTCTTCTACTCTTAAGGGCCATGTTTCGCTGCCGTAAAGTAAAACAGAACGAACTGCCGCGCAGTATACTCGCCCTTTTATTGATAGACGGATATCTCGCCTTCGCCAAAGATGACGTAAGTTGGCAAAAGCCAAACGAGCTTTTCGAATCCGTGCTGAGATTTCGTCAGACACCAACCCATTAGGGCTGATCAGACTTACAAGATAAGTGAAGTTGTCAACGCGTTCAACTACTTCACTCCCTATCCTTAGTTCAGGTGTTGACCCAGACCAGTCCTGAAGCAACAACTTGCATTTAGAGGGAGAGAAGCGCATTCCAAACATTCTGGCATTGTTGCTTAGTGCTGCCAGAAGACTCTGCATTTTATCAGCGTCTTCACCGAACAGGACTATGTCATCTGCGTATTCGAAGTCGATAAGTGGACCTCCTGGAAGGAGATCAATACCCGAGAATTCAGTCGACGAGAGTGTTATTTCCATCAATAGGTCTATGATGAAGTTAAACAGAAATGGACGGCCTTGACGGACACCACTTGAGGTTGCAAAAGTAGATGACAGTTCGCCATAAGCCCTGACTCGACTAGTAGTGTTCGAGTAAAGAGCCTTCACAAGGTTTATGTACTTCTGAGGTACGCCTTTCAATGACAGGCACCTTACAACGGGAGTAACAAATTTTTACAGGTACATATTTTATAACATATCGGAGCGTATGAATGCATGTAGTATTTCTTAAAATTGAATTGGATAGCAGAAAGAGTGCGTTAAGACTATCGACTTCTTAAATTTATTAACCCAAACCATGTAAATAAGGATATATATTTTAATCTCAGATATAAGTAGTGTGACTCAGTATTAATTGGAATCCCCGGACCAAAACAGTAGAAAGGTGATTCAGATGTTCATACAGAACAGCAAGTAAAGACAATGGTTGTTCAACGTTAGGTCTGACAAACCACACACGAATGTGATGAAAAGGTAAAGGGTCAATACTACCAATGTTGTAGATTATGGTTCTGAATTTCCTACGTACGCATTTTAGTTGATGTGATATATGATTCATAACAACTAACTGTCCACAAGACAGAATTATTAAGTCAGTCAGCAACAACGTACAGAGATATAATTGTCGATTCAAATCCCATAGTGGTAGGGGAAGTAAAAGTATAAGCAGAAACAGGAAAGATTAGGGTTTGAAGATGTTATTCAAGGAGTATAATCCAATCAAATTATTAAGTGATCCCCAATCCAGATCAAAACGATAGTAAAATACAACATAAATGTCAGGAAAGGAATTTTCTTTCTAGAAAAATGACTAGATTGTTCGAAATGTATAGCGCAGATACATCATATTATTCAGATAAAACTCCGTCTGCTCATTACTTACTTATTTACTTACGCCTGTTACTCCTAATGGAGCATAGGCCGTCGTCTGCTCATTGCTCTATCGAAATTTATGAAAGGGACTAATTGTTTTAAATTTCTGACAATAAATATTGTTAAAAATCAATCAAGTTATAAGTGGATGTAAGTTATGCGTTTTGATCGATTATATATTCTCCACTTGATGTAATGAAATTAAGACCTAATAACATAGACTAGTAATTGTTATCTATGCCAATCAATTACTATTACATAATATGAAAACAAAGTTTGCCGCAAATGGCTTAAATCTTAGCATACATAAAAAGTAAGTTAAAAGTGAAAGTGTTTAGTAGTGAAACTTGAGATGAGAGTCGTTGTTCATGAAAGCGATTGATTACACTGAAGTCCTTTCAAAAAACCTTCAATCTTAGATCAACATCAATGAGTAAAATGTAAACTATACCAGGTAGCTTACATTAGACAGAAATCTTGCGAGATATGGTGGTGGAAGTGTAGAACCTTCATTTACTTGATTGATATCATTGAGAAAACACATGTCTGAAATCAAATCAGGACAAGCAACCACTAATGAGAAATACTTCAACTCTACGCACCAATGTTGAATAAACTTACATGCAGTATTCATCCCCTTAGTAATACGCCATATACTTTTGAGGATAGCTTGTGTGAATCGATTTGTAAAGTGTCCGTTACTGATACATTCATGTAGTAACCGAATGAGCGCACTGTAGCATAAAAAAGAAGTAGTTGTTAGTAAAGTGTGATCAATCATTGTACTAAGACTACAATAATTCAAAGAAATAAGTAGTATATATTGTAAAGTTTTTATAAAAATCTGTCTTTAGCGATAAAGTCTAACTTAAACACTCATATAAAATAAACATCACTCTTTGATAAATTTTGCAAACAATCTAATCTTTACGTCTCATTAGTTTAATTTCCCAATAAAATACTGAATTAAATTTGTGTAGCGAATAAACAGAATTACAAATAACATTATACTTTTACTTGAACGGACACAGCAGGCCTAAACCACCTTAGATTCAAGTTCATTAATTAATTAAACACCATTTCAACAGTTGGGACGGCAACAGCACTGCAAACAATAGTATTCTTGGCAAACAAATAGCATAAACAGTAGAGGTGAATATCTATCATGCAATAACGCATGCTGAACGCACCAATAACAGCTGGAAAAACACTTTGAAAGTACTATCTCATAGAGGAGAGATATAATTGAACAGATAGCTTCTCATGAAAACGGACTAAGAGACCAGTAATGAAGCGAAAATATACGTAAAAGGTAAATTGATCGTGTTTATAATTATTTGGGCTGTATGATTACAGTATTACTACTACAGTCCAGTGGTCTCACCGCGCCAATGGATATAGAAATAAGTAAAGCGGATAAAAAACACAGCAAAGTATAACCGAGAAAATACTCATATTTCTGGTAGATGAAGTTCCCAGTTATAAATAACTATATATTATCGAAAGCTGAAAGTAAATAATATACCTGAGTATGCGTGTTCCATTGGAAGCCTCCAAAATAAGAACGAATAATGCATTGATCGATCTGATAACATTTTCTCCACTGGACATTTCAGCAGTCCTTTCATCCAACATCATTTGAAGGAGAGATTGGGATAATTCTCTTAAAGTTTCCCGTGAAGCTTCGCGACCTAATGTTGGACGACTAAAAAGCTGTGTGAAAAGACAGTAAGTTAAATTTTTAAGTTAATTTGAAAAAACGCTGATTATTTAGGGAAAAGGCAAGAAAGATTATGAGTAAAAGTTACACAGAAAGGTACCTATATATGTTTGTACAACATAAAACATTTATAAGGCGGGAATCCACAATAATAGAAATGTAAAATAAACAAGCTTTTAGATTTTAACGAAATTCAAAGTAGACAAAGTTGATTTTATCTAGATTGTCAAGAATTTACAACAAATGGCTTTGAAATTAATCAGTTTATTTAAGAAGCCCGTAGGTTAATACACATATCTCAGACCAACGTTAAGTAGCTTTATTAATGTCTTAACTTCTAGCTTAATGGTTTTGTGACAACATAGGAAACTTTAATTTGTGAGATATCTTTAGTAAAAAAGTAAAGATTATTGAACTTACAGATTCGATAGTGGCCAAATGAGACCGAATTAATGTATGCAATTGCTCCTCTGAAACTGAAGGATCTCCAAAATATCGTGAAGTAACTTGGCGTAACTGCATTGTAATAAGCATCAGGACTTGATTGACATGATTGAGTAAAAGGTACCACTTTTCATCTAGATTATTAAAAGTAAAGAGATATGTTATGGTGTAATTAAAAAATAAATAATTACTCAATATGACTAACAATATATCTAAACATGACAAACTTGATGTCACTAAAAACACTGAAGGTTTTATTATTAATATTATTTAAACACACGCCACGTAAATCACTCGATTTGTGTGAGGGTTGGAATACTGTCCGACAGCCCAAACCAAAGCAGACAGTTTTCTAAGAAGACCACTCTTTGAGCCTTTCACTTAGAGGTCCAAACTACAAGGCAGTGGAGCAACGTTAGGAGATTCAGTTCCTTGGTAACCGGTGACCAATAATTAGTTCATACACCATCTGTTGTCTCATGATCCCTGAACCCACGTACACCATTGGTTTGTAATCACGGCTTTCCAACTCCCTTAGGTGGATCCTTCATATCCTGGTTAAAGCGCCGGACATTCAATTTTCGTCCTCACAATTTCGTAAACAACAGCATAGCCGCGAGGAGAATCGATGAAATTATAAAATAATTTTACATTGATAATATAACTGAGGAAAAAATGTGAAAGTTATTAAAACCGTACCTCTAAGAACAGTGTCGATTTCGGCCAAAGCATGACAACTGATTAGTAAATCATTGGAAGATATAGCCGTTACGACCATTGTGATCGCCGAAGCAGTGTCAGGACTTGTTCGTAACAGTGCATTGAGAACAGGTTGGCGCACGTGTGCTCTAAAAGTGATATAAACCCATGACAGTAAAATATATATAAAAGAATAAAATTAAGATAATTGTTCACTTCAATTAAAATACCAAAAGTAATAGAAAACATTGTGAATACTCACTTCAATGCTGGAATTTCAACTGGTTGGAAAAGATCATTTATATCAGCATCTAACTGAATAAGTGGAGGCATACATGGAGCTTTCTCAGGTGATAAATCACCTAGTTCATTCAACATAGCACGCGCTCTAGCATGAGCTGCAGAAACCGGTTGCTGACGGCGAAATTCGTTAGGAACAGGCTCTAGAGGATTACGTGAATCTGACGGATCGCTGATATAAAAATGGAAAATAAGGAACAAAAACAAATCCGAATTACTACTTATAATACTACTACCTCAAACAGATTAATTTATATGAATTCATGATAGAACTATGCAGGGAAATACACAGATAAGTTTCTAGTATTCTCGAAAATAAGATACTATGATAGGATGTCGGCAGAAAACAAAGTCGTACTCTACATTCAGGAATATTTCAGAGATAACCCTTCGATTGAAAAAAAGTAAATAGGATTGAAATTTAAGGATTATATAACAAACGTTAACTTTAAAATACATACCGTCTTGCAGTGCTCGGTCTTACAGACGGTGTCTTTGGTTCAAAATTATCTACAGTATTGATCGGTATTTGCCCAGCTCGTTTGATACGTTCTTCCAGCATTGAACGTTCTTTTTCTGGTATCTGAGACAAACGAAGAACATGATAATACATGACTACAATGGTACACAAGTATGCTATTTTAGATGGATTAAAATATGACCTAGGAACAGGGAACGGAATGAAGTTCAGCAACACAACAGGACCAGCTAAGCTATTTACTGTTCCCCAAACAATCAGCAACGACCTACTGTGGTAGAGAACAAACCAGCTATGAACCGAAGAGGGAATTAAGAAAAGAAGCTGGAGGTGGACACACATTGAGGAAATCATCAAACCGGAAAGATTGTTCAGGACAGAGTTCGACTGAGAATGCTGGTGGGCGGCCTTTGCTTATCCATCAGGGGCGACAGGAGCAAGTGAAACTTAACTGTCTTAATGATATATTAGAAATGGGAACTGAAAATATTAATGCAAGAGTATAATACCGAGTGAAGCGAGGAATGAGTTAAGATTCTGAGCCAAAATAGTTTACTCGTTGGTATTTTTGATTAATACTTTCTGTATGAAAAATTTATATTACTAGCTTAATCGTCGTAGAAATAAGTTTACTAGTTGACAATATTCCCAAGTAGAATAAAGATCAACTTAACAACGTAGTAATATAGAACAACTGAAATCTCTTACATCACCGATAACCTTCCATATCTGTTCACCAATAACAGCATACGCAGAAAGTAAAGCATTCAAAGCTGCTGATCGAACTCCGCTATCACGATCACCAATTTGTTGAGCGATCAATTTGATTGCAACGGGAATAGAAGGCTGACAAACATTTAATCCAAAACGATCAATCAGAGAACCCATCTCATCCAAGCACTCTAAAACAAAAAATAACTAAGAATCAACAGGACAGTAAAGCAACTGTGAGAGATGATTACTAAATATGATACTTGCTTACGAATGTAACGCACGTAAACAACGAAGCTAACCTTGTCTTGTTTTACTTGTTTTGGCCTTAGTCCCATTAGTGAGAAATGTGAACAGACGACTGGGTGGATAGAGATTAACCACAAGTTTCAATATTCCTCGAATATTCTGTCGAATTATATCTTTAGGTTCACCCACTTTCATTACCAAATAAGGAAGAAATGAACCACCTTCATGTTCGGAAAGATTTGCTCCAGACTCTGACATAAAAACGAATAATTTTGTTAGATAATCCATACCTGTATTATTCGAAAGAGGAAATGAGAATAAAACACAATTCAGCCTAAATAGCTGTTACAAAGTTTTAGGAACAACAAATACAAATATCACAGTGATATTTATTACAATAGCTCAAATATTTATGACCCGACTAAAATCTTATTTTAGACTAATCTTTACAACGTGTATCTCCAAACAAATACAAGCAGAGATACGGTTGTAGAATATTTCAGAAGAGTGCAATAGCATAGAACGAAAAACTGACAAAATTGTAGAAATGCCAAAATAAAATGAATATAAAGTTTACAAACGAAAGTAAATGATGAGTAAGATTTTGAAGGTAATGGATAAATCGGTGAAACTATAATTTATGGAAGAATCAATCAGATATAAGATAACAGGTCTTGAATTTAGGCGCGAAATTTATTCATCCATTTGGCTAAATAGCGTTTTGGCATTTTAGCTGATGTCAGTCAGTAACGAAAACCTTAAATCTAGTTTCTAATTCTAACCATCAACTGTAAATCACAATTCCAATTCCTTGCATTGCTTTATAACTGTCATTTAGTCCCAGTTAGTAGGTGGACAATAGCAAGGTCACTTTAGCGTCGCTCAAAGTTTGTCCATAAATTGTAGTCTCGTTAATAGATTTGTAGTATATTGACTGAATGAGTAATCATTATTTTAAGGACCTTACGAGTGAAGTTTATACCTTCCACACATAACTCATATATTCAGTCAATGACTTCGTAGACTGAATTCATATCTTTATCTCGTTACAATTATGTTTGATCAACCTATGGTTAACTAGTTTAGTCAACTGTATCAATGTATCTTTTAACTGGGTAAAATATGGGTTGATAATTTGGATGATTTAAATATTAGTCATTAGTTGACAGAATGATCAAACAACTGTGCACAAATTCAATTTTATAGAAAAGTTATCAGTTATATACAAAAAAGAATAACTTAGAGTATGAAATCATTAAATTTCATTAAAACTTATTTTGTAGTTTGGGTACCGGTGAAGATTAATTTAATTGATATTCGTAGTATCAAATTAACTTACATCTGCCTAAAACAACTGGATTAGTTTCAAAGAATCGTAGAACAATCCATCTCAAGATAATATCTACATTTATTACAGTAGCCTCACAGCCTTCAGTAGTATCTAGTAATTGAGAAAGCTGTTCAATCGCCTTAATGTGTTGTTTAAAGTCGGTATGAAATAAAAGTGCATGAAATTCAGGAGCGGTTCCAGCTGCAGTGAATAATGTACTTAATTGTTGTATGTGGTCTTTTGTTGGAGCATCGAAATCCCATTTTAAAAGCTGTAAATTAGAAAAAATGAGTTTTTGAAAAAAAACGGAAAGTATAGACTTACAAAAAGTTGTATACCTTTCGTTGAAATCATGAACAGAACAATATTAGACTAAATTCGAAAACCCGGAAGATCGTTTCGTCCTACTATGGGACTCCTGAGCATTGCGCATCCACAATCCCGCATTCCGAACTCGAACAAAGGACTTTTGGTCTTGTGCAAACGCTTAGCGTATAGACCACTGAGCCGGCACCCAACGGAGTTAATATCTAATCTTAACCAATCCATGATGTTGGGCAACCACCTTACATTTATTAGAGGATACCAAAACGTTATTTAATTAAGACTATTCAATTTGTTCATAGGAATAACATTGGATATGTAAACCGAACATTTAACATAATCGAATACTTCCATACTTTTTGACTTTAAGTAGTCTAATTTGCGTAATTATGAAGCCTTGCTGTCATTCAGTAATCTGAATCATCCAGTCCAATTTGTCATTAACTACATAGGTTGTACAAGAGGTATTCTCACTCATTGCTTTCAGTGAGTATCACAAATTTATGCTTGAAATATTATCCATGTATATTTCTCAAAACATAATTCGAAATTACAAGTTTCATGCATAAAAATTCAATACGTTAATAGTTTAATGTGTATATTTGGAAATAGACACAATAAACAACAAATGGAACAGGGTTATTTAAAAAAATACAGAACCATTACCTTGCGTTTTTTCTCATCATTTAACCTAGAACTCTTAGCTGACTTATTTGGCGGAAGAATTATGGATGTCGTTGCCAGTTCCGGACCTGACTTTTTAGACGTGTTGATAGACTTTTTATTATCAGCCTTTTTCTTCGTATCGGAAACAGACTTTGAGGTATTGCCTGAAGATTGCGTAGCATTTTCAGATTCCTCGCTATTTTCTAAAATTTAATGATTGAAATGAAATAGATGAGGTAATCTTTTCTATGAAGCATATAATCCAGTGAAAAACGGATGTCTTATTTAAATTTTCCTGTAAAATACATGAAAGAAATACCTGGAGTAGTAGCTGGGGCATTTGAGGAAGGTTGTGGAGGTGCTCCATTACCTACACGTACCGCTTTAGATGGAGAAGAGGTTTTTTTCTCCATGGATGAGGGATGTGAATTAGCTACACTTTCACGAGCTTTCTCCAAATGAGGCATAATTGAATCCTTTGAGGTGGGCTTCAAACGATTGGTAGACTTTAAGATAGGTTCCCAGCCAAAAACTTGTATTAATGAAGGAAGAACTAGTTGGGCTTGTTTACGAGCTTCAACATTACGATCTTCAAGAGAAGCAAATACCTGAGGTATTAGATTCTCTGTTATTTCTGAAGCGTTTTTCCGCAGGGCGTTTAATGGCATAGGTGAGAGAACATTTTGAAGCCAACGTAGTAATTCGGCTCGTAAAAATGGATTTTCCATCTAAATAGTAAATAAATAGAAAGATGAATAAAGAGTTTAGATTATAAAACAACTTTACATAGAACAAAACGTTATGAATGATTATCTTAAAAACCAATAACGAACAGTTTAATGAGCCATTAGAATCTTATTAATTATCTTCGTCTATAATCTAATAAGTAATCTTTCAATTCACACACACATGTAATGACTCAGGAATCAAGTTTAGTTCACATACATCAGTCAGCATTTATATTTTTATGTACTAGTCCAAGTATACATGTATTAGTGACGATTAAATGTAAACAGTAATTAATGTTTCGGTCGAAATTGGCTCAGGTTATCTTCAAAAAAGGTACATGAAAAGATACTTACCTTTAAGGCATCAGCTAACATGTCATTTTCAAATACTGATAAAATGGGAACTCGAGTTTGCCAAGAGCTAAGTGCAGTTACAGCTGCCTCACGTATTTGAACTTTTGAATCACCAAGACAGAGTAAAATAGGGGGTTCAACATACCTAGAAAATAGATCGGTTGAGTAATAAGTTAATAAAATATTTGTAGGAAAACTGAGTTATTTTAAATGAGGATTCGCGTACTTATTACATACGATTGTTATTGAAATTCGGAAAGTTTGGTATCAGTTCGTACTTGCCTTAGTTAAAACAGTACTGTTAATATTTCTGAAAGGATTACTAGATTATAAAATTTGTGCTTCCGGTTTTGCAGAATCAGAGTGAGTATAGCTAAATTGTAAACGTATAGATATGTTTCAACTGATCTTATATATTATTCTTGAAATAAGATAAACCATTTTACTTCACCAGTATGAAATAACCTAATAACATTTTTTTATTTGCCATCAGTTAAAATCCAATAAGCTTCGTACAGTACACCTTAGCATAGTTCATAATAACAATGTGTTAAAAATATCTTAACTTCAACATTTTATTTTATAACGTTACGCAACCTCATTTTATTATTATTAATCTTTATATAGGACAATAGAATCAATCAGAAGATTACAAATATATGCTTTAGTAATTTTAAGAGAAAACTGAATATAGAACGAGGCGCTGATTAAAAACTGCAAATATAAAACAAATAGATGAATATATTTCTCTTTATACCATACAAAGTAGTGTGTTGCCATAAATCATATCTTCTTTCTAATAAAGTTATAATGATTATAGAAAGTAATAAAATTATTAAACAAATATATAGAAAAGATGAACTGTGATCTATATCACTGTATTTATTCTGCTTAACAAAAAGTTCACGTGTATACATGATACTATTATGACAAAACAACCGATCGATGAAATTCCGGCATGAATGAAGATGTCAGTGGTAAGTGATTGGCGACTTATTACTGCCCAACTGATTGAATAAATGAGTAAACTATATCTTTTACATGTAAAATATCCAAATAAGACAAAATGATTTGTCAGAAAACAGAAAAAGATGGAAACAAATATTATAAATCAACAAATTACCAATTATTTTTAATTATCGTACAAAATATAAATTACTATATTTGGTAATAAAATACAGTAGAAAATAACATGAAGATAGCAGTGAAAATAATTTAAAATTATAGGCAACTTTCAATAAACTATGGTATGAAGTTTTTGTTCAATTAACAGATGTAGATTGGATTTGACCTGTGACAATAGCGGTTAAATTTTGAAAACACTAATTTCCATTATTAGATAAGCTCAGATGTCACCGGAACAAGACACTGAGAATCCAACACGACGATAACATAATCGTAAAAACTAGTAAAGGTTATAACAAACTTATTTTGTCTGTTAGCGTTCGTAAAGATACACTGTAGATATAAAACGAAGAAAGAACTACACGAATCAGCCTGGCAACTTAGAATACGGACAAGCTGTAAACAAAATCAGTCAGATTGAGCAATAAAATTTATCGTACAGCCTTAGGATTCATTTCTTATACAGATTATTAGTCTAGTGTTGGGAGTGTGTGACAGAACCGGGTACCCAAAAAACCTAAGCCTGACCAATAACTTGATAATAATGATAAGGGTATTGTATGAGTCCCAATTAGTTACTATAACGAGTAACTCAGACTTACAGTGTAGTAGTAGCAGCTTTTGAAGTCAAATACAGCGTGTTTTAAAGTGGGAAAAAAGAGGAAAGATGAATATAATTATAAAAATAAAAAACGATTTCAGAACATATATTTACTTTATGTAATTCACAGCGTCTGATTTCGGTATTGATGAAGCGAAGGAAGACAGGATTATCAAAGCTTGTTTGGCCAAGTTTTTATTCACATCATTAGCTGCTTTAGCTATTATAGTCAAAGGTTCTTGAAGCTTTCCGTTTGAAGCATCAATCAAATGGGAAGGAGATATAAATTTTTCAATAGTAGTCAGTGCTTCTAAACGTTCTTTCCAAACCTTGCTTTTCAGAAGTCCCAGGAGTTCAGGTGTGAGTCGGTCACTGAAAAAAGAAACTGGAATATGAATAGCGGACACTCAACAGCATAGATGCGACAAAAATGTGCGTCATTGAAGCAGATGACATTGAAGGTGAATCTGATTCTGAAGAACCTATGGTAAGTTAAGGTCTCCACTAGTCCACTTTAAGCATTCAAGTGTGTTAGATGGAGAATTTTATTTAATCAGCAATCACATGATAGCATAGTCCCCCTCTACATTTATTCCGATACGCAACCCACTTTTCGGTTATGTACGATATACGTGGCGATTTGGTTTAAAAAAATATGGAAATATAAATTTACACACAAAAAACAATATAGTTTGGATGTCGTACATATACTAAAATAACAGGTAAAACATAACGAGTAAGTGGAAACACAGGCATTCATAAAAAACTGTGAAAAACTCAAAACGTAAAAGATCATGACGAAAACTTTTTTATCTACCAGGAATGTCCGAAAAAGCTAATAAATCAGTTAAGCTGCAGAAATTATATAAGATATTTCAATGAATACCTGATATCTACTTTTGGAAGTAATACATCAGAGTCCATCTCCTCTATTTGACCGGTAGTTTCTATATCTCTAGACAATGCTTCAGTTCCGCTGGGTTCAGCAGACACTGATTCTTTGAGAAGAGTTTGGGCAGCAGAAAAACGAGTTGGAGTAGGAGCTTTTTTATCTTTGTTTTTCGCAAATTCCGCGTTCAGTAACGTAATTAAAGCCGGTTTCTCATCCGCTAAGAGAGCAGGCAAACGATCATGAAGATATAAATGAATTGTCCCAGCAAGATTTAGTGAATTTTGACGAACAGAAGGGTTAGTTGCATTGAGGCCTGTTTTTAGAAGTGGTCCAACTTCTTGTGGTGGAATACTAAATAAATTAAACAAATTCATCAAGCATCTAGGATTAATTTGGTAAGAATATTCAGCTATTAAAATCATGGACGTCATGGAATAAAAAAGCTTACATACAAGATAGGTCGTAACACTAATTATGCCTTTAATTACTAAGCACAAAGAGAAAGGACAGAATGCTCTGGAAAAAAATGCTAAACACAAGTAACATTCGATTAATTATAACAGAAACTAGATTCCATAGCCAATTTATTTGAACACATAAATATTGGTACAAAGGGGCACTGAATACATATGCGCCACACGAGTCACTGGGTTCGTTTGCGGGTTGTGATACTGCCCGTGTGTCCAGATCGGAGCAGGTGGTCTGATCCACTAGGCAGTGGAGCAACGTTAGGAGATGCAGTTTCATGGTAGCCGGTGACCAACAATAGGTTCATATACAATCTGTTCCTTCAGAATCCTGGAGCCCATGTGCACCATTGGTTTGGAATCAAGGCTTTCCAACTCTCCTAAGTAGATCCTTCGTGTCCACAAACCCGGTTAGGACGTCGGACATTCGCTCTTCGTCCTCTTAATTTTGTAAACAACACCCCTGCCCCGAGAAGGCAGTGAGTAGGACTTACCTGGCAGTGGCTGTATACGTGTGGTTATGTAAGAGCATTTCAAGAGAAAGAGCTAACTCTCCCCACCCTCGGCAGCACCAGGGCAATGGGGGTAAGCTTTCAGTCATTATTTATTATATGATTGCGATATTGAATGGGAAAAGATCCCTCAAATTAGTCGATTGTTGTCATGAAACGTAACCCGTAAGTAAACGTGGAATTAGATTTATGGACAAGTCATAGATAATAAATAATATATTTGTAATATTCCAGTGAGTAGAAAAATTAGATTTTCTGACGTTTCGTGACTTAGTGTAAGCCATTTCTTCAGAGAATAAAAAACTAAACCAAAATTAATCCAAGTTTAAATAATACAACGGAATAACAAGAATATTATGACATAATATACTTATTTATTTATAACAATCTACCGAATGCTCAATTTATTCGAAATTATCAAGTCAAACCATGGTAATGATACCTACAAAGTCATAGATTTGTTTTCTAACATCTTAAGAAAAGATAGGTTACATGTACTTAACCAAAGTAGAGCAATGTACTACGACACCAACTCAAAAGCACTCTTTGATTCTTTATTCTTTGTTTTAAAGGCGTGCATGCTATTTTTTGTTTCTCGTCTTTCGAACCGTTTCATTTTCTCCTTTTATTGGCGACTGATATGCAGTATCCCGAACATTATGAATAAGAATTTAGAATTCAAAGTAACAAATAGATATATTGGAACATTCGTACTTACATTTAACATGAAACTTTGGACAAGGGGTACCATACTTTACGATAATCTTAGCAGAACTATGTAAAACGAAACCGTATACTGAATTTTTAAATACAAGTTCGAATCGTATAGCAGCAAAGAGTTACGAACGATACCCCCGTTAAAGCCGGTGGACGAAAAAGAGAATTTACTAACAGCGGCAAGGGTGTATGTGTATCACAAGTAAATCTCCGTACAAATTGATTCAGTTTAGACCATATATATCCACTTTCATTTTTTGTACATGTAGAACACTCCTACCGCGTAAAACCAGTGAGACTTTGCTAAAAGGTTTCTTAGTGCACAGCCAAATGAAACTATTGCAAGAAAGAGAGAGTAAACTCCATTCACAGATTATGTTACAGGATTTGGGGATAATAAAACTTAGTGGACATGTACAGATCTATGTACTAGATTTTGAACTAATATTGTACAAGAGATATAGATAATCCCTAGTCGCTTGAACCAAAGTAGGCGGGACAGGGTTTTGGAACTTCAACTCAACGGTTAAAAGTTGACTGATATAAAAAGGCAGAACATTTTTGTGCTCTACAACACCTGAAAGATCTAGCTTCTATAACTTGAAAATCTCTGACACCTTTCATTTACTCAAACTTTGTTAAAGGCGATAAACTCAGAAAATCTAATCACTCATATGATGTTAGAAGCTTCAGTTACAACTGTTGACCAGGAGGTTTATCACACACTAAAACGATAAAAAAAACATACAGAACTGATATAAACTTGGTGAAGTAAGATATCATTGGACTCCGAGGAAAGGCAAACGAGCACTAACTATAAACACTACTGCTAAAGGTAAACGATTCAGTTCTACACCGGGTTTCGCAGCAGGTGGACTGCTTGTATATGCTAATAAAGCTATTGATCGGCTTGTAATCAGGTTCTCTCGTGTAACTGTATACACAGCAGTCTAGTTTAATGGTTTAATAATATCGTACTGTATGCATCGATTGAGTAATACGTCTAGTGCGTTGTTCAGTCTAATATGTCGTTTCGAGGATACAGGATTTGTGATCACTCCGCTATGTTAAGAATTAGTTGTAGTTAATGATAACAAATTAAGCAGATTGAGAAGTGGACAATGGTTATTCGGTTAGCAACAAAATAATTTTCAAATTGTGAGATTTTCATTTAGTAAATATAAGCAACCATGCATATAAAAATACATACCAAAATCCGAATTCCTGAATGCTTTGATTCAACCAAGCCAAACCTTCGGTCTGACTGCGAGGATTTTTAATCTGAAATAGTGTGCGCATTATAAAACCACCAACTAATTCGAGACTTGTTTTCTCAGCCAATTTCGTCATCGCAATTTTTGTGACGTCACCGACTTTCGTATCACCAACCTTCTCAATCAAATCTGATAAAAGTAACTCAGCCAAATTTGAACTGATAGAGACGCTTAAAGACAAAACTGCTTCGATGTACTCAATTCGAGCGCGCAGCACCTTGATTAATACAGGAAAATTCAGATTAAAGTACCCGTAAGTACACGAATACCTGATTATATGGTTATTCTTTAACGTGTATGACTGAAAAATTTTGTCAACAGTAGGTAAACAACCAAACGCCAGTTTGTGAGTTCGAACATACACTTCGAAAACTTTGCATGACACTACCACCACTTATGTTTTTACTACCTTGATATGCACATGATTGTTGCTGAAGTTCACGTATGACTACCAATCTGTAGACATAAACAGTACAGTACGCAACGCTCAACGGTCATATGTGATTGTCTTTGAATAGTTGTCGCTTAAGTTGCAATCATTTGGGTTTCTCAAGAAACAATTTGTCGCCAACTCCATGACCGTGAAAAGTTAACCCCTCACATACACACTTTAGAAATTACTTCTATATACTCTGTGTAATGGAGGTGACACCCCAAATTTATAAAAAACGACCCTTGGTTTTGTAAAATAACACAAAATTCTGACTTCAAATTGAATAGTAGTGTCAAAAAAACCAGTCAATATTGTAAAATCCCAGTGTAATGAAAGTATGCCGTTTCCAAAACATCCATACATGGTCACAACTCGTGTGATTAGTTCAAACGCGCATTTCGATTTACACCAAAACAAAAAACTTAAGTATGGAGAAACTTATAACATAATGATAATAAAAACAAAAAATTTGAATATGTAAAACTTAGTACACCTAGTTTTTAGAGGACAGATTACATAAGCACATTATTTTGTATTAATAATGCAAAATAAACGGGATTTTCACAAAATTTATTGGCAAACTGTTTACAAGATATCATCATAAAGTTAAGTCAGACTTGATTTTGGGGAGGAATTTTATCAGTTTCCAAATTTTTATTATCGCTACAGGTGTTCGTGGAGACAGCTGTATTATAATAGTTTTCATGACGGACTAATTTTAGTAAGATAATCAATGAAAACCAAGAGTCACCGAAACGATATTTCGTTTAATTTAAATAATGGGAACGTTTCACCCGGCAGTCTGGTCTAAACTTCTACAAGAAAATAAACAAGAATAAATAGGATATTTGAACGCCCTCAATGCCCTGATACTGCTGAGAGTGAGGAGAGTTAGCTCTTTCTCTTGAAATGCTCTTACATAACCACACGTATACAACCACTGCCAGGTAAGTCCTACTCACTGCCTTCTCGGGGCAGGGGTGTTGTTTACAAAATTAAGAGGACGAAGAGCGAATGTCCGACGTCCTAACCGGGTTTGTGGACACGAAGGATCTACTTAGGGGAGTTGGAAAGCCTTGATTCCAAACCAATGGTGCACATGGGCTCCAGGATTCTGAAGGAACAGATTGTATATGAACCTATTGTTGGTCACTGGTCACGAGTCCTAAAGTCTACTGTCAGCAATTATTTAAAGAAAATTGGCATACAGTTATTTCAGAGGTTATTTATGTTTGATTCTGACTATTTTCCTGAAGAAACTTGGACGAAATTATCAGGTGAAACGCTAGAGTTATATTACTTGCAATCACTGAGATTATTTCGTTCATAATTCCACATCTAATGTTATGATGAACAGTATTTTGGAATATAAAGTGAGACCGAATGGAGCAACAGAGATGTTTCATTTTTTCAACCTTTCACTTTTATAGCCAATTATTATTTATAAACGAACGATTTTGTGATCTTTTAGGGTTTTTATTTATTATTTATTTGAACACATAAATATTGGTACAAGAGAGCGCCAATATATATGCGCCACACAAAACAATGGGAATTCGAAGAGAAGTAGAAAGAAAAAAAAACTAAGGAACGCAAAAGAAAAAGAGAGCAATGACGAAGAGGTACAATCAGAAGAAATCTTTCAGGTAAAGGAGACACAACCACTTTTTATGAAGAAAGTAAAAGAAGGTTACAGCAGGATCGCCACTGGCTTCTATTCTGAGCCATATCTGATAACGTCTCTAGCCACTGTGTAGCACCATCTCTCGGACACCAGCCAGGGAGTCGTGAAGGACCAACACAAGCCAGTCCTTTGCAGCTTTCTTTCATACCACGACACCATGTCATACACTGACCACCTCTCCGCTTCTTCCAACCAGTCCCAGAGTCGGCAAATAATGCACGACGTGGAATTCTCTGGGCCGACATTCGTAGAACATGTCCAAGCCACCGAAGTCGGTGTTTCAAGATGGTGACACCAATTGAATTATCATCTCTATGCCCGAACACACGATGCCGAACCTCTGCATTACTGACATGGTGTTGCCACTGAATGTCAGCAATCCTCCGGAGACAACGATGATCGAACACAGAGAGTCGTCTAACGTCCTCAACTCGGAGAGGCCAGGTTTCACAAGCATAGAGCAAAACTGCTCTCACCGACGCGTTGTAGATCCGACCTTTTACGGCCAGACTAACATCACGAAGGCGCCATAGATGGCCCAGATTGGCATAAGCCGCTCTGGCTTTCATTATACGTGAATCGGTCTCATCACTAACGCCACCACCAGCACTTATGCAGCTACCCAAATACACGAACTTCTCGACTACTTCTATCTGCTCACCATCCAGGGTGAGTACAGGATTGGAATCCTGCCAGTCTTGTAGAAGTACTTTGCACTTCGAAGGTGCAAAGCACATACCATACCTACGGACACTGATTGCCAACTGATTAAGTGCTGATTGCATGCCTTGGGCATTATCGCACAGTAAGACAATATCGTCCGCATACTCAAGGTCGAGAAGTTTTTCTCCAGGCAACAGATCCACACCACCATTACTTGCATTCATCAGAGCTGTTTCCGGAATGTCATCGATGGCAAAGTTGAAGAGGAATGGTGAGATTGGGCAACCCTGTCTAACCCCACTACTCGAATGGAACAATGGAGAAAGGTGGTTGTATGCCCTCACTCTCCCTGAGGTGTTTTTATATAGGGCTTTTAGGATGTTAATAAACTTCTCAGGCACACCCTTCTTCAATAGACAATCCCAGAGGACAGTTCTGTCCAACGAATCGAAGGCAGCCCTGATGTCAAGAAACACTACGATTGTTGGCCTTTGATGAGTATGGCGGTGTTCTAACATTTGGCGGGGGGTGAAGATATGATCAATACATCCTCGACCAGAACGAAACCCAGCCTGCTCCTCGCGAGTCAATCTTTCTCGGGTTTTGAACAACCTACGAAGAATGACGGAAGCCAATAGCTTGGACGCAATCGGAAGTAAACTTATCCCCCGATAGTTGTTACAGGAACGACGTGAACCCTTTTTAAAGATAGGGACAACTATCGACTCATTCCATGACGTTGGCACACTCTCTAGTTCCCAAACCTTTGCAAACAACGTCGTCAATTCCTTAGTCAAAAAGTCACCACCATCTTTAAAGAGAGCCGGAGGTAAGTCATCTGGGCCAGGTGATTTGTAACGCTTCAAGAGTTGGAGTTCCTTGCGAACTTCCGCCTCATTTGGTGGATCAGTCGTCACCGGCCATGGAGGGCAGGACAGTCTGACTGATGTTGCCGGAGTAGCAGGCCAGTTGAACTGCCCTTCGAAGAATTCTGCCCACCGTCCAAGACGTCGATGGATGTTAGCGATTGGCATCCCATCATCCTCGCAGATTGTTTCACTCACACCAGACTTCTTGCTGCCAGTGGCTCGGATGAGTTGGGAGAGCTTCCGGTAATTACCAAATGCAGCTGCTGCTTTCAGCTCATTAGCACGCTTCGACCACCAGGCTTCTCGGTCCTTACGCAAGCTTTGCCCGATTTCATTACGTAACATCCTTCGATTGTGGTCAAACTCACGGTCACCCGGAGTAGACCGACGGGCTTTGATGAGTTGTAAGGAACCAGAAGAAACCCAGTGCTTAAAAGCGGGACGTTTCGCGAACCCACAACTGACTTTACTCGCCATTTCCATGGCGTCATGCAATTGCAACCAATGCTCATCTATACTTTTCCGTGGAATGTTAGCTAGCCTAGAAACTAGCTCGGTTCGATACTTATTTGCAACAGAAGTTGCAACCAGCTTGCTAACATCAATCTTTTCGTGGTGGTCACTTCATTGGCCACTGAAAAGTAAAGCAAGATTGGCGCAGACCAAGGCATGGTCAGAGTCCAGATAGGTACTCCAAAAGGAGCGGCAATCTTGTACACAACCACGCCAGCGGTAGCTGATCGCGATGTGATCAATCTGAGTCCAGGCTTGAGATGCAGAGGGAGGACGCCAGGTGGAACATCGGCGATGACTGTGTCGAAAGTTAGTGCTAGCCAGAAACAGGTTGTGGTCTGTGCAAAGTTGCAGTAGACGGTCCCCGTTATCTGACCTGCGACCAACGAGTCCCCATCGGCCACCTAAACGACTCTCTTCTGTGCCTAGACGCCCGACCTGAGCATTCAAGTCTCCGGCTAGTACTACAATATCTGTCGAACGCAATTTCTGGAGAAGAACTGATAACTGGTGGTAAAACTCATCCTTGATTGCATCCGGGCTGCAATCTGTCGGGGCATAGGCGGAGATGACGAAAAGACATCGTTTCTCATGCCGATTTCTTCTCACTTTGATGGAACTTTCTAATCTAACAGCACATAACCGACTGTTAATGGGGATCCAATCGATTCGTGCTGCCTCAGCTCTAGCGCTTAGTGCGACACCAACGCCATCAAGACCAAATGAAGATGCCACAGGGTCCCTGGATAAATTCAGGTGATGAAACAAGCTTTTCGAAGCGACAGATGGAGAGCGAATTTGTAGTACTTCACCGGTCTTGAATATGGGTCTAGGATAAACAGCAAACGTCTATATTAAGACTTTTCAAAGACATAGCCAGCCCTATCTGTTGTCCGACCTGCATAAATGTGCGAACGTTGAAGGCAGCCAGTTTGAATGGTGCACGTGGTTTCAGAAAATCTGCTTCAGTCCTCGTGTTCGGTGGTAACATACAATTTTCAACCGGACAGTGACTCGAGAACGTTTAGATACAGTCGGAATTCCACCAAAGACGAGCCGCTGTATAAGTATAAAAGAAGGTGAATAATGTGGAAAATAATAATAATAATGATGATAATAACAATAATGACAATAATAGTAGTAATAATAATATTAGTATTAATAATGACAATAATTGTAGTGATCATAATTTGAATCGATTGATTGTTTTTCAAAGCGACAAAAGTAATTTCCATAGACATAAAGAGTTCATCATTTGTGTGTGGGCTGTGATACTGCCCGGGTGCCCAAACCGAAGCAGGTGGTTATCTTAGGGGGCCACTCCCCGAGCCTTTGACCTAAAGGTCTAACCCACAAGGCAGTGGAGCATCGTAAGGAGATGCAGTCCCATGGTAGCCGGTGACCAACGATTGGTTCATACGCCATTCGTTCCCGCAGGATACTGGAGCCCATGTGCACCATTGATTTGGAATCCGGTTAAAGCGCCGGACATTCGCTTTTCGTCCTCTCATTTTCGTAAACAACACCCCCGCCACGAGAAGGCAATGAGTAGGACTTCCCTGGCAGAGGCTGTATACGCGTGGCCGTGTGAGAGTATTTCGAGAGGGAGAGCGGACTCTCCCCACTCTCGGCCGTACCAGGGCATTCAGGGGGCTTGTTAATTAAGTCATGTAGTTGTATCTAGCACATGATAAACTGAAATACAACATTAATAATTCAGGTTTCAGTTTGTTCTAATTGATCAATGAGAACAGGTATAAAATTGATAGTGAATATATTCACTCAATTTCCTTTTTATATTAACGGTTACTTTTGAGATCGAAGGTGTTTATCAGGCTACTAAAAAGGACTTTAAAACTTGTAGTAACATCAAGGAAAAACATCAACGCAGTTTAGAAAGCCGATGTTATGGGTGTTGGAAAACAATGAGAGTAAACGATTCTGGGTTTGATTGTTTAAGACTAGAACTTGATAGGTGTTGCAGACCGATAAAACCATGACAGTAAACATACCGAAATTATTTGACATAAATTGTCACTTATAAGCTGACATAAAATGATTTCACTCAAAACACAACTAAGTACCTGAAAATTAGTATCCTTGATTCCAGGCTTAAGTAGAACAGCACGACACAAAATTTGAGTAGGTACGTCAGAACTGGTAAAGGAATGTATGTTAGATTTCATTTGTTCAGCCGCTTGCAAGCGTTCTTTCCAATTCGTATCAGATAATTGCTTGATAAGTGCTTCCCCAAGAAGCCTAAAACACATTCAATCAGAAATTACGGTCAAGGAAAAAGCCTTTTCAATTTTCCATTCAAATAATTATCTAAAATAACCAAAAACACCATATGTGCTTTAAACAAATAAATTTAGTTTACAGAGGATGACCTCATCTATTAAAACGATTAATTAACCCTTCCAGTTTTAATAGGAAAAAATTTCGTAAAAAGCGGTAATCAACACAGAAGATATAATGTGCCCAAGAATTACTTGTTGATACGTGAATTCAGTTAATTAATACCTGAAGTGCACTTTCAAATAGACGATGTAGTTGTGCAGGAATGAGAGGTGAATTGGGTATAGAAACTGTAGGCACATATTTACTGAAATCGTTAAATTATGTATATTTCTTTCTGTCAATCGATGCTTAGAATGAAGTAAATTTATTTAACAATGCTGGCTGGGACGGTTGTTTATGAAGCTTTAATAACGAAGAGAAGTACTAAAATCTAGGGATTACCTTTCAAGCAAATCGTTATCAGCTAGGAGGTATTCCTTCATTATTGATCATCATTCTTTATCATCTAATTCTTACTTACATGACCCCACATGTCCGACTCTACATCTCCAACTTCTGACATGGCAGTAGACAGGTGGGCCTAGCGGTTAGGACACTCGACGTCCGGCTACTAAGTTTCCGATTGGAATGCCACTCAATCTAATTCAGTTTGATTAAATTGGATAGTATAATTAGTGTTCACAATCAAATTACCGCACATACCCAATTACCTGGCGAATGAGCCTGTAATTATCATTAAGTATCCAATCAAAACAAACTAACATAGTGAATACGTAAGCGAGTCCCTGACAAATGTATTGGAACCTGATGTTCAATAATGGTCCAGTTACTCTGTTTTTTTCTATACCCATTATCGACCTTGTTTTCCGTGCAGCTTTGTAACAAAATGCTATAACAGAATAAATCAATTCTAATCACTAATCAGATTCCTCGGAATCTTTTCGTAATCATTACATTTAGCTTATAAAAATCATCTGATATTTGGTGTAAGATATCGAAGAAAACAAGGTGGGTGATACCAGTAACAACTCACTCAGAAGCTTTCTGAGATATTTCATCCTCTGTTAACAAGTTTTCTGTTGGAATGGTGAATTTCGATTTCTCAATAACAGATTTCGTACGTGCTGTCGATTTTTTACTAGATGGCCCAGAAGTCGGTTTTTTAGTAGCACATTCCGAATTAGCCTCTCCAGTGCCACAGGACGCTGTATTCGGACGAGTGACTGGTGGTGCTGCACGACGTGGTACAGTATTGGGTTTAGCAGATGTAGACATATTTGTCGAAGGAGCAGTTAGTTGGTTACCTGTATTGTTAAAAATAAGGGCAAAACATATCAGAACTGAAATATGAAAAGAATTTAAATGGAGAAAAATCTGCGCTAATCTACATGTTTGCTAATCAGTGTGAGGATGGAGAGGTTTTGGATACGAAGGTACGGGGAGCATACAATCAATAAGACGACAGATTACATACCCCGGTTAATAGAAAAAGCCAGATACTGACCACATTTCGCCTGTCATAATCAAAGTAGAACCTAGCACACATGTATGCATTAACACCAGTTACCATATCATGACGATTGTAATGATCACTGATCTGAATAGGATATAATTGTTTATTTACAACTTAGAAGCCTCAGTCAGTCAGTCAGCTACAACGTAGGACCAGGCACATATATGCATCGGTCCAGGTTGCCATACCTCATTAGCACAGCAAGATAAACACCGGATTCATAGGAGTGGTTAGGTCAAAGGTGGTAATATATAGGAGAAAGATTGCATATAGAGATATAGTACAAGAAGAAAAAATTGGTTCGTAGAAAGAAAGGTATGAAGTGATTTTAATCTCTTAGTTTAAGGGAAGACAGGGAGTGTATACACCGACGCCATTGTGATAGATTCTGAGCCATGTCACCAAGAGTCTCCAACCATTGGTTACGATAGTCACGCGGACCCCAACCAAGTAGTCTGCATCTAACAACATGGCTCAGACTAGAAGTTAGTGACTTCAAGCACTGATGCCACATTTTGGTTTGGCCGCCCCTTAACTTTCTTCCAACCATCTCCAATACCGGATAGCATTGCACGTCGTGGTAATCGGTATTCAGGCATACGTAACACGTGACCCAACCATCTCAGTCGATGAAGATTAACAACCTCATCAACTGATTTACCATCATTCTCTAATACCCTGCGTCTAACCTCACTATTATTTACCCGGTGATCCCAGCAGACGCCAGCAATATTTCTAAGGCATCTGTGGTCAAATACTAGTAGCTTACGAGTGTCTTCTACTCTTAATGGCCATGTTTCGCTGCCGTAAATTAAAACAGAACGGAACTTAGAAGCCTACAAGTATACGAAAAATCAACGATTTTTGTGACATTTAAAGATAAAACTAACGTTTTGCAGTGTTAATTCTTATCAAAAGAAACAGCATTAATAAGCATGTCGATATGAATATGTAATGAAATCATAGATCAAATGTAAAGGTCAATCTAAAATCCATGTACTGAGACTATTATACGGCTTGAGATATCTGGAGTTCCGTGAACAGATTTATTCAACGAGAATTCTATAAATCTTTATTTCCGACTTTAAAATGTTTTTTGACATCTTCAGAGTTTTTAACTACTTAAAAGAAATAATTATAAATCTGTCTGGTCACTATTTATGTTTGGAGACAGAAACTAATGGTTGGCATTCAAATATCTTCGAGTCCTTTGAACCTCAAAGGAAGAAATTAACAAAACTCTATCTTAGTTTACGTATAAAACCGAAGTTTATTTGTTCACTGACGATTTCGTGATTGTAAAAAAGGTTTACATTTCAGCGTTATAACATGCAACAATTTGTCTGGTACTTCGAACTTGAAGAAATATCACTGATTGATATTTCTTCAGGCCCGACGTACGGGTACTAGGTAAGGATGGCAAATTAATTGAAGTAGTGAAACTTCGTCAGTTGAGATGGCTGGGACACGTGTTACGTATGCCCAACGACCGACTGCCTCGACGTGCTATGTTCAGTGGTATAGGAGTAGGTTGGAAGAAAGCTAGGGGCGGCCAGACCAAAACACGGCACAAGTCCATGAAGTCACTGACAAGTGAACTGAGCCATGTTGGTAGGTGTAGACTACCTGGTTGGGGACTGCGAGATGATAGCAACCAATGGTTAGAGACCCTGAATGACATGGCTCAAAATCGTTTGCAATGGCGTAGGTGCATCCACTCTTTGTGTTCTCCCAAATTCTAATCTTCTGAATTCTTCATGTCCCTTTTTTCCTCTTTCCAAATTTATTTCACTGGATTATACTCTTTAAATAACATCTCCAAACCCTAATCTTCCCGATTACTGCTTATACTCTTACCGCCTCTACCACTACGGGATTTGAATCGACAACTGCATCTCTGTGCTAATGTGGTGTGGCAACTCAAACTGATGTACGTACGTACGAAGTTCTACGTTGTTACTGACTGACTGGAATATCAATTTGTCGAGAAGAAAAATTCACTAAAACTTATCAAAGATATCAACTTATTGTAAGGTAGTTTGAAACATTTTCAGACTGTTGTGATAATTCAGAAATTAAATAGTGATACCATTTGGCAATTTCCTACTATTTCTTTCAGAAACTACGAACTACTGATGTACCACCAGCTGCTTAACTTCATCGTTATCTGTAACAGATATATACTCTTCTAATCGATTTAGCTATTTAAGGTTTCAGAAACAATCTTGACTAATTTTAGGGACTTGAAGCACTTATATCATCCTACAATTTCAGTCCGCAAAACACTAATATTGTAATCAGCTGAAATTACTATGACCAGCAATTTACAATTTGAAGAATAGGGAAACATCATGTTCGTAATAAAACGGTAAATTATTGTAACTAGATCAGGAGCCTTCGACCATGTTTACTCACTACGCTAGCAAATTAATTTCTCACAATTCAGTGGCCTAAATTCGTCTTACACGTGTGCGTTATGCTGGATTATAACAAAACACTACACAATTATCTATTGTCAAGTAATCTAAAACAGAAATATCATGTGGTTATAAATAAAGATTGGAAATTAAGATGTACCACTGATAGAAAATGTAACAGAAATCCTAAACTAACCAGAGTTATTTGAATTACTAAGTTCAGACGCTATTCGTTCACAACATTCATTGATTTTCGCCAGCCGGATGGAATCAAGTTCGCTGAGAAAGGGCTGGATAGTTTTTGCCGACACGACGAACATTGCAGCACCAAGCGCAGCAAAACTACATTCACGCACTTCAGGAACAGTATCGTTGCATGTTACACATAACGGTACAGTAAATGATTTTAAAACCTTTTTGTTTAGTGATGTGGCAGAACATTTTTTGAACGCTCTACTTAGAATTAAGGCTGCTTCTGCACGTACATTAGGTGTTTTGTGACTTAATGCAGCTACAATATCATCCACAAAATGATCTAGTGAAGCCTGGAAGCGAAAAATAGTATACATTAGAAAAACTTTGGTAGTAACAACATAAGATAAAGTAACGGCAGCGGAGTATAGGAGATTGAAGAAGCAGGATTAAAACATTACTACTAGAGTCGCATAATCAAGAAGCCTTTATGTTATATAATCGACACATACACACATCAATAAAACCCTAATTCACCAGGTATATTAAGACCTAGAAATCTCAATGAATATAAGGACACAGTCATAATTCATTACCAAGCACATGATTAGATCCTATAAATATCTTACCTATTCGACTGAATACAATATCCAAGCCTTCCAAAGAAGTAAACGATTTTCAGAGTTATTTGTGCTTTAAAAGCGACGAACGTTAACTAATACTGCGAAGTCTCCAGTGTCCTCTTTTATAAATAAAAATAATTTTGTATATGTAATGCTAGAATGAACAACTCTAAATGCGACCTTAAGGGATCAACAGGAAAAAATCTATGGTAGTAAATAGGTGATAAGTTAAAAGGACTAATCAAAATTGCACTTCAAAAATTAAAAGACAAACTACGTCATTGACCACCAACGATTAATTTAAAACAACTGAGTGCATTAGGCTACTCTCTATCAAGTATTACAGTGTGACGTAAAACTTATTAAAAAAGAATGGTAAGTAGTCATAAACTAGTTTGACCATAACTAGAACTATACGAAGAAGCATATAACTGTTGAAATGGTATACCATAGTGTGCTAGTGCTATCTATGAAAAATACCGTCTAAGGAATTAGCCCCCAGATACCCTGGTACGGCTGAAAGTGGGGAGAGTCCGCTCTCCCTCTCGAAATGCTGTCACATGGCCACGCGTATATAGCCTCTGCCAGGTAAATCCTACTCATTGCCTTCTCATGGCGTGGGTGTTGTTTACGAAAATAAGAGGACGAAAAGCCAATGTCCGGCGCCCTAACCGGATTCCAAATCAATGGTGCACATGGGCTCCAGTATCCTGAAGGAACAAATAGCGTATGAACCAACTGTTGGTCACCGGCTACCATGGGACTGCATCTCCTTACGATGCTCCACTGCCTTGTGGATCAGACCTTTAGGTCGAAGGCTCGGGGAGTGGTCCAATAAGAAAACCACTTGCTTCGGTTTGGGAACCCGGGCAGCATCACAGCCCTCACACATATCGAATGAGATTTGTGTGGCGCATATGTATTTGGTGCCTCCTTGTACCAATATCTATGTGTTAAAATAAATAAATAATAAATAATCTGTGAAAAATGAATGAAGTGATTTGAACAGTAAACAGGAAGTTGTTTACTGAAGAAAGTATAATTAAGGTAACTGAAAAATTCACACGTTAAAATGTCATATTACCATAGCATTGAAAGACGAAATCACATACAAATTCCTCAATTCAAATCGATAAAATCAGAATATGAAACAAATAAATCACTAGAAACTGGTATAATATCTCTAGTGTGAGAATACAATCTACATTCTCAAAAATAAAAAGTAAAGAGAAGACGATTACAACTATGAGACTTTTATAATCGTATTTTAAATAAGCTTATTTGATATAAGCTTAGAAAGTGTCTGAAATCTCTTAAGTTTAAACATAAAAATTACCGTATTATACATATATAATCAAAAAGCCGCATTGAACAGTGCCTAACATTTTCGCAATAAACTAATGGACTGAAAATCCAACCCAATACCTATCAATAACTAATAACTAATAGATAGCTGCATAATAAGTAGTACGACCCTATTTAGTTCTCGGTATTGTAACTCATTGATCAAGTTTCTAAATGCGGCGAATAAACAATGTGGTGTGATATTTGCAGGTTTATTTGTTTTAACATATAGATATTGGTACAAGGAGGCACCAAATACATATGCGCCACACAAATCTCATTCGATATGTGTGAGGGCTGTAATGCTGCCCGGGTTCCCAAACCGAAGCAGGTGGTTTTCTTAGGAGGCCACACCCGTAGCCTCCGACCTGAAGATCTGATCCACAAGGCAGTGGAGCAACGTTAGGAGATGCAGTCCCATGGTAGCCAGTGACCAACGATTGGCTCATACGCCATTTGTTCCTTCAGGATACTAGAGCCCATGTGCACCATTGGTTTGGAATCAAGGCTTTCCAACTCCCCTAAGTAGATCCTTCGTGTCCACCAACCCGGTTAGGGCGCCGGACGTTCGCTTTTTGTCCTCTCAATTTAGTAAACAACACATCCGCTCCAAGAAGGCAGTGAGTAGGATTTACCTGGCAGAGGCTATATACGCGTGGCCATGTGACAGCATTTCGAGAGGGAGAGCGGACTCTCCCCACTCTCAGCCGTACTAGGGCATTTGGGGGCAGGTACTTGTAGAAAAGTCCTTTACCTAAATAACGTGCATTTGCTGAAGAGATATTTGTGGTTTTTTCGATCAAACATTCTATAACTACAAAATAGACAACTTTTACCTACTGAATCAATAAGTTCCGAAGGCGAAGTCGTACTGCTGATTGTACAGAGGTGCGACAGCAATAAGGTGTTTCCTTCAGACAACCAACATGACAGCGATGCTGCCTTCCCACAAGGAGGGGTGGGGTTAGAAAAGGTCGACCCTAAAAATGCACACCTCGCCTTATCACACGGACATCCGTCTCCGGCGGTAAAGTCTCAACAAGTACGGAGCTAACACAAAAATTGCCCATAAAAAAGTCGTGTGTGACCGACCTCAAGCAGTTGTCCCTTTGGCACTGCGGTCACGCTCCCAGGTCACTAAGACCACTTCTAATCCGATTTCCTTTTCAGGTACCTCCAGAAGAACCCTTCCACGGTGTGGGCAACCGGGAAGTGATAACCGCCCTCATACCTCTAACAGCACTCAAGACCACTGTATTCATAATCAACCTCCCTCTTCAATTCCGATTATTCCTCCTACATAAACTTCAAACTCTAAACTTCCTTTTTCGGCTTTCCCCTCAAGTGTCACCATAGCCAACGATTCTAGTGCTCAAAACACTGTCCCAGGTCTACTGAAACCTCGCTCCACACTACACATTGGAGCCTTCAATGTACGCACTCTATGTCAAATCGGTCAACAGGCTTCCTTGGTTAAAACCCTAGAATCTCGTACCATTGATGTATGCTGTGTCTCCGAAACCCATACAGAATCCCAGTGTGGTCATTCACTTGACCTCACCTCGGCAAAACGGAGAGCCAACGAGATACACCCTCCGTTTATCTGGTGACCCGATGGCAAGTTCTCGTGGACTGGCAGGTGTAGGCATAGCACTAAGCATGAGGGCGGAATAAGCACTGTTAGAGTGGATCCCCGTTAACAGTCGTCTGTGCTGTTCGGCTAAACATCTCCGTAAGAACTCGGAAGGATAGGGACACACGGCGTTGCCCGTTCGTCGTTTCTGCCTACGCTCCCACCAACTGCAGCTCAGATGAAGTGAAAGATGAATTTTACAGAAAGCTATCTGAACTTCTTCAGAAAGCTAAGCGTTCAGACATAGTACTCGTAGCAGGTGACTTTAATGCCCAGATAGGTCGTTTAAACCAAACAGAAAGGCATTTAGGTGGGTATTTTAGTATACCGGCACAACGAAGAGATAATGGTGATCGTCTGCTGCAACTATGCTCAGACAATCGTTTATTTTTAGCAAACACAAATTTCAAGCATAAGGAGAGACATCGTTTAACATGACGACCCCCTACACCAAACCAACGGTGGACTCAAATAGACCATATTTTCATCAGTCATCGTTGGAGAGGGTCGGTAGAAGATTGTCGCTCATTCTGGAGTACCTGCTTGGACTCCGACCATGCCCTAATACTGGCACGCATCTGCCTGCGCCTCACTGGACGCAAAAAAGCCACAGTAAAAAGACCAATTAGAACTGAGTTGAGTAACAAGAAAATCAAAAGTAGGTTCCGGGAACAACTGAGGTCACAATTAGGTAGTTCTGAAAACGAGGCTGACCCATATGCTGCTTGGAAAGATATACAAACAGCTGTGGAAACAGCAGTGACTTAAACCACAGAATTACAAAGAACCAGTGGATTTCTTCAAGGTCTATCACACTGATGGATTCTCGCAAACTCGTCCCATCAGGCTCTGAACACGATGAAGAGCGACAACAAATCAGATCTAGGTTAGGCAAAAGTTTAAGGAACGACCGTTAGCAGTGGTGGGCAACGGAAGCAAAAGAGATGGAAAAGGCGGCGGCTATAGGAAACACAAGACAGCTCTACAGACTAATAAAAGAAACTGGAACTAATAAGTCAAGTGTAAGTGAGATTATTTCGGAAAAAGACGATACTCTCATCTACTCCCAGTCCAGACGTTTAGAACGATGGGCGGAACATTTTCGGGAACAGTTCAGCTAGCCTTTAGCGACTCTACAACTACCCTCCATTCTCAGACAGTGTGAATGGAACATTGAAGTAGGTCCCCCAACTCTAGCTGAAGTTCAAAATGCTATAGTTAATCTGAAACGAGGAAGGGCAGCTGGTCCAGATGGATTGGCTCCAGAGGTCTTTAAGAATGGTGGTACAATATTAGCGATTAGGTTGACTAATATTTTAGCTAAGATCTGGGAGGTAGACGTAATTCCATCTGACTGGTCACAATCACTTATCGTCCCAACATATACGAAAGGGTCAAAATAATCCTGTGACAACCACAGAGGGATTAGTTTAACTAATATAGTATCTAAAATACTAGCCTCGATAATTATCAGATGCCTAACTTATTTATTTATTTATTTGGACACATGAATATTGGTACAGGAGAGCGCCAATATATATGCGCCACACAAAACAATGAAAATTCGAGAGGAATACAAAGAAAAAAAAAGCTAAGGAGCGCAACAAAAAAAGAGAGAACAATAACGAAGAGATTGGTGTAAGGTAATGTGCTAGTAATCAGGGAACGCAAAGGTACAATCGGAAGAAATCTTTCAGTTAAGGGAGACACAACCACTTTTTATGAAGAAAGTAAAAGAAGGTTACAGCAGGAT